AGAGATAAAGAAAAATAACCACGAACGGGGATTTAGCTCAGGAGCACAGCACCTTCCTGGCAAGTGTGAGGTCCTGAATTTAATCCCTAGTACCAAAAAGAACCAAAAAAAACAATATCAAAGGCTTATTCTTTGAGAAGAGCAGTGGCATTGATAAACTGATCTGTCAAAAGAAGACAAAACTTCTAATCACAGGAATACTGAGAGGTGTCATCACTACGGCCTACTGATAGTTAACAGATAAAGAAATGTTCTAAAGAGCTTTAGTCCAGTAATTATTTTACAACTCAGATGAAATTGACAAATTACTTTTTGGCGGGGGGGGCTACCGGGGATCGAACTTAGGTCCCTCTGCTTGCGAGGCAGGCGGCGGGAAACCACTGAGCTAAATCCCTGGCCCCACAAATTACTTTTTTTAGTACTGCAAACTGAACCCAGGACCTTGAGCATGCTAATACTAACAAGCATTCTACCACTGAGGAATATCTCCAGCTCCCTTTTTTTTTTGTACCAGGGATTGAACTCGGGACCTTGTACTTGCAAGGCAGGCAGCGGGACCACTGAGCTAAATCCCCAGCCATCCTTTTTTAAAAATTTTTGAAACAAGGTCTTGCTAAATTGCCCAGGCTAGCCTCATTGAAATACTCCTGCTGAGGGCCGGGAATTTAGCTCAGTGGTTCCATCGCCTGCCTTGAAAGTGTGAGGACCCGAGTTTGATCCCCGGTGCCAAAAGAAAAAAGAAATACTCCTGCTGAGATTACAGGCATGGACTATCATGCCAGGCAACAAAATTCTTGAAAAACATTAACTACCAAAACTTACTCAAGAAGAAATGGGCCAGGCATGGTGGTGCACACCTATGATCCCAGCATTTAGGAGGCTGAAGCAAGAGAATTACTGCACGTTTGAGGCCAGCCTGGGCTACATAGTGAGTTCAAGGCCAGTCTGAACAATATAGCAAGACTCCACCTCAAAAAAACCTTAAAAAGCACCATGCCTGCCTCACAAGTGCAAGGTCCTGAATTTGATCCCAGGTGCCAAAAAAAAAAAAAAAAGGTAAGAGGGAGAGGGGAACGGAAAGTGAAAAGAACTGAGATATATTATGTACCAATTTCCCACAATGAATGTAATCATTATGTACTATAAACATGTAATTAAAAATTTTTAAATGAAGAAATGGGTAATCTGAATAGCGTTATCTATTAAACAAATTGGAACTAGAGTTTAAAACATTTCCACAAGGAAAACTTTAGGCCCAGATGCCTTCATTGATGAATTCTCCCAAATATCCAAGAAAGAAATACTACCAGTTCTACAGTAGTTATTCTAAAATTTTGAAAGAGGAATACTTCCAAATCATTCTATGAGCCCATTATAAGAAAATAAAATATCCCTTATGAACTTAGAGGTAACAACTATGAACAAAATTGTAGCAGATTGAATTCCAAGGATGGATATATTTATGCAGGCGTGTTAATTACTTTTCTCTCTGCTGAGTCAAAATACCCTACACCCAAAGTTAGAGGGGAAGGGGTTTATTTAGCTCACAGTATGTAGAGGTTTCAGTCCATAATCAGCTGGTTCCAAGGCAGAGTGGCACATGACGGAGGGGCATTGCAGAGGCGAAACAGTTCATGGCGGTAGGAAACAGCAAAAGCAACAAGAAGACCTTAACAGTGTCTTTCTGCTCTGCTTATCTTATTCAGACTACCGGGATTAGGGCGGTGTGAAACCAGTCACTTGTGTAGTGGTTTAGTAATCACGCACCCTTAGTCCTAGATTTACCCACCTGTGACAGAATGAGGCTTTGGGGGAGCATATAGATCCAATCCATAACAGCATGCAGGTTGGCCTTGAACTCACTAGGCAGCTCAGGCTGGCCTCAAACTCAGAGCTATCCTCCTGCCTCAGCCTCCCAAGTGCTGAGATTACAGGTGTGCACCACTACACCTGGCTTGAATCCAAGGATCTATTAAATGGATAATTCTGTACATCATGACCAAGTGGGGTGTATCTGAGTGATGTAAGTGTCTGTGTTTGTTTCTTTGCAGTACTGAGGATTGATCTCAGGGCCTCCACAATATACCCTCAACCTTTTTTATTTATTTTACTTATTTATTTATTTTGGTACTGGGGCTCGAACTCAGGACCTTGCACTTTCAAGGCAGGCAGTGGCACCACTGAGCTAAATCCCTGGCTCCTCAACCCTTTTTTATTTTTAGTCATGGCCTTGCTGAGTTGCCAAGCTGGGATTCATTTGTCTCCCAGTCTCCCAGAGTGCTGTGGATTATAGGCATGTGCCACTACTCCCACCTAGTAATGCAAGTTTGATATAACATTCAAAAGTCAAATCAGTGAGCCAGGCTCACACCTGGAGGCTGAGGCAGGAGAATTGGGTATTATAGGCTGATCTGAACTACATAAGCAAGACTCTGTCTCAGAAAAACAAAGGAAAAGAAAAAGTCCGTCAGTATAATTTGCCATGTTAACAGTTTTTTTAAAAATCCATGCAATCATTTTAGTACAGAAGGCATTTGAAGCTGGGTGTGTTGGTACATGCTTGTAGTCCCAGCACTGAAGAAGCCGAGTCAGGAGGATTGCTGAGAGTTCAAGGCCATCCTGGGCTACGTAGTGAGTTCAAGGCCAGCCAGAACTATATAGTGAGACTCTGTCTCAAAAAAAGAGAAAGCATTTGAAAGCCAGGCATGGTGGCAAAAGTCTGTAATCCTGGCACTCAGGAGGCTGAGGCAGGAGGATTGCTGTGACTTTGAGGCCAGCCTGGGCTACATGGTCAGTTCAAGGCCAGCCTGAAGTACATACCAAGACCCTGTCTCAAAAAAATAAAAAACATTTGACATTCATTCTTTCGGTTTTTTGGTTTTGTTTTGTTTGAGACAGGGTCTCCCTTTATAGTTCAGGCTGGCCCTGAACTCACTGTGTAGCCCAGGCTGGCCTTGAACTCACAGTGATCCTCTTGCCTCAGCCTCCCAAGTGCTAGGATTACAGGTGTGCGCCATCATTACTGGTTTGACATTTCTTGATAAAACAAGAGCCACCAAAAATTTCAGCAAACTACGAATAGAAATGTCCTTCTCCTGAAGAAACTGTAGCTAGTGGCATTGTGCATGATGATCAAGCCCTGACTTTTCCCAAAGATCCAAGCCTAGGTCTATGTGTTCCACTCTTGTCAGGATCTTTCAGGCAGTAGAACAGTGCAGAGGCATTCAGGCTGGAAAGGCAGAAGTACAAGTAAATTGCAGACAGTGTAGAACTCTGTCTTCAGCCAAACTGTCACCAGAACAAAGGACCCAGAAAATTGGCCTCTTGGACACCATTTTACAGGAGATTCCTTGAAGATATACTCCAGCCACACAAGTAAATCAAGAGGAGTAAAGTAGAGGCTTATATCAAGAATGGCCCTTTCCTGGGTCAGCTGCAATAGGGCAGGGGCCAGCCTGGGAGCTGTGTGACAGGCCTGGAGGATGCTATCAGAGCATGAGGGGAAGCCCTGTAGATGGTACTGGAGGGCATTCAGATGTGAACAGAATGAGACTGTGTAAAGACAAAGGTGGTAACCTGCAGGAGAGGCAGCCATGTGTGAGAAAGCCCTCTAAAGTAAGGCTTGAATTTAAGCAGTGTATATGGGACATAAGGAGGAAGAAAGAATTCATTTCATTTTGATGTTGGAGGAATTTTTTTTTTTCTAAAAGAACTCAGATTGGAGCACTGTCCACCTAGAGAAAAAAATGGGCCAAAAAAGAAGAATATATATGGCCTAGCATACTGACACATTCATAAATGCATCTCAATAATTTTCAGATAGAAAATAGAGCCAGTTAATCACTTCTCGGCCTTTTGGCTAAGATCAGTTGAAAATAGAGCCAGTCATGTATACCAAAAAGGTAAAAGTAGGAATGCAGCACACACTTAAGGTAGGATATGGTAGTTAGAAAAAGAGTACATAGCCTTATCTTTTTTAAGCCACTTCCTTAAATTTCTGGGTTTTTTTTTTTTTTTTTTTTTGGTACCAGGGATGAAACTCAGGACCTTGCCTTGCGCTTGCGAGGCAGGCACGGTGCCACTGAGCTAAATCCCCAGCCCTTTGTAGCTCATTTGGTAATGATCCAGAAGAAGCTATAACCAATAGTGGACAACAGTGGACAAACTATGGACAATAGTGGACACAACAGTTTCTGTGGATATGACAGGGAAAACAGGAAGGCATTCATTTTAGACATGCCAGGGTGGAAGTTCTGTACAGAGAAGTTAGGAGAGGCTGATGCTTGCTCAGTGTAGACAGAACACATTTTGGGCATCATCTTGGACAGAGAAACACTGATGTCTCTTTAGGGAACCCTATCAGACAGAAGGAAACCAGATCCAAAGGAGGACATAGGAAGTGGCAGCACTGTTAAATAAGTTAATGTATGTTTAGTGTGGATGTTACCAGAGAAGAACTTAATGTTAGTGGTACAGAAATCAGTAACTGCAGCTGAAAGGGCTAGGTAAGAGAGTGGAAATAAGTGTAGATTTTCCCAAGTCCAGAGGTAAACAGCAGACTCAGGATAGGGTTAGTAGTTCTCTGTCTTCTGGAAAGATGATGTCTGTTAGCTTTGTTCCTGTATCTGTCTACAGTTGGTCCAGGGCAGCTGGTGCCTGTGTACTGTGGAAGAGAAGTGCTGACAGCTTGTGCTGCATAGACCCAGCCTTTGTTGACATTTGTTGACAGGGCTGGCTCTCCCCTCCCCCGTTTTTTTGGTACCTTGGATCAAACTCAGGACCTTGTGCTTGTGAGGCAGGTGGCGGAACCACTGAGCTAAATCCCTGGCCCTATTACATAATAATTTCAACAAGAGGGCCAGGGATTTAGCTCAGTGTCACCATACCTGCCTCACAAGCACAAGATCCTGAGTTTGATCCCCAGTGCCAAAAAAAAAAAAAACCAGCCTGGGCAACTTGGTGAGACCCTGCCTCCCCCCCCCGCCTTTTTTTTTTAACAGGTGTGGTATCTGTCTGTTTTGAGGGGGACAGTGATGGTTATATCAACTTGGTGGCCTACCCTTATGTGGAGAGTGAGACCATGGAACAGGATGATACACCAGAACGGGAGCAACCTCGGCGCAAACATTCCCGCCGGAGCCTGCATCGGTCAGGCAGTGGCAGTGACCACAAGGAGGAGAAAGCTACCTTGTCCCTTGAGACCTCTGAGAGGTAAGAGATTGGTGAGCAGAGGTGTAGGTATATGTCTCATCCTGCTGGCACATGCACCCAGAACATTTTAAGAGTCCTGACATATCCTGGGAAAGCAGTTCTCAAAGTTAAGGGTAGCTGGGGTTTTGGGGTCACCCTGCAGATATGGCCTCCCCTGTATGTTACATCACCCCAATAATGGTTCTTTCTGGGTATGCCTGTAACTAGTTCAGAGAGATTCAAGCTCCCTGAGCCCTGTGGAAGCATGTCTCATACAAGACAGGTTGGCTGGGTGTGGTGGTATATTCCTGTAATCCCAGCTAATTGGGAGACTGAGGCAGGAGGATTGAAAGTTGGAGACCAGCCTGGCAACTTACCAAGAACCTATCAGCCTAGGTTCAATCCCCATCATGATCCCCCCCTCAAAAAAGGGAGGTTGGTTTCTAACCTATAGGGCAGTGATGGCGAACCTTAGAGACCATGTCCCAAACTGCAACTCAAAATCTATGTTCTTGTCACAAAATGCCAGTACTCCAATTAAACCCGAATACTGAGGTTTTAGTTTAGAAAAAACAACTCTCATGGTCATACATTAATATCTTTTGTCTTAAAAGAAAAGCACAATAACATATGAACCATAGGTTTGCCACCATTGCTATAGGATATCCAGGCTAAGAGCCATCACAGTCCATGTAGTCTAGTGGATCCTAATGATATTGTGTCTAGTATCTGAGAATCTGATATCAGTAATCTTTTTGTTGTGCTTAAAATTTATTCCATTAGGAACTGATTTTCCTCATACACTAGGAAAATAATCTTTAAAAGAATGATGCCAATATAATATTTCGATATTATTTCAATATATATTCTAATTTGTTTCATTTATAGTGCTAGGTCCTCTTAGTTCATTGAAAAGAAAGGTTTTTTTGTTTTTTGGGGGTTTTTGGGTACCAAGAATTGAATTTAAGACCTTGTGCTTGCCAGGCAGGTGCAATGCCACTGAGTTACATCCCCAGCCCTGAAAAGAAAGTTTTGTGCTATTATCTGTTTCTTTTTTGTAAGACTCTTTTTTGTCTATGACTTGTACTCTAACATTTTGGCTATTCTTTTAAGATTACAGTACACAGTGTATTAACTAATGTTATTCTTTAATTTGTTAGGAAATTTTGCTTTATTTTTTCATAGAAGTAAGACTGTTTTAAACATTTTCTTTATTAATATCTACTTGTATTACATTGAAATTAAAAAAAAATAGTATGTTAGCCAGGTGTGGTGGTGCACGCCTGTAATCCCAGCACTCAGGAGGTGGAGGCAGGAGGATCGCTATGAGTTTGAGACCAGCCTGGGCTACAAAGTGAACTCAGGGATAGCCTAAACTGCAAAGCAAGACCCTGTCTAAAAAAAAAAAATGAAACCTAGTAATTACCTCCTAGGTATGCACCCAAGAGAATTGAATACACACAAAACTTGTATGCAGACATTCTTAGCATTATTCCTAATAGCCAGAATGTGTCCATCACCTGGTGAATGGATAAACAAAATATGGCATATCCACACCATGGAATATTATTGTCTAAAAAGGAAGCTACAACATAGATGAATCTCAAAAACGTTAAGTGAACGAAGCCAGATACAAAAAACCGCATGCTGTACGATTCTGTTGGATAAAATAGAATAGGCAAAGGCATAATTAGAAAAAGCAGCTTAGTGCTTGCTCTGTTAGTGGTTAGGGCTCAGGGTAGTTGGCAGTAAGGAGTGACTACTAATGGTGATGAGGTTTGCTTTTAAGGTGAAGAAAATATTCTAAAAATTAGGCAGTGGTGATACTTTATATCCTAATGAATATACTAAAAGACCACTGAATGGAAATACAATAAAATTAATGTGAGCTTCCTATGTCAAAATGAAATAAAAATTATACTACTAAATAACTTTAATTTCATTCAAATATAAGTTTCATGAGTAAGACGCTCTGTGACTTGATTCAGAAATTGAACCTGGGAAATATGGAAATGGCTCAGTAGAAGATGTCTAGCATGTGAGGTCCTAAGTTCATTGTTTGTTTGTTTGTTTTTGGTACCGGGGATCGAACTCAGGACTTTGCACTTAGGCACGAGGTGGCACCACTGAGCTAAATCCTTGGCCCTCTTCAGAACTTTTTTACCTTCCATGAGGTCCTAAGTTGTCTTCAGCAGGGCCCAGAAGCACAACTGGGAATTTTGAAATTTTCTTACATATAGCAATACATAGTTCATCCTTGACATGAGAGCAGTTCACCAGCACATGTCCACACTAGTTCTCAGAGCTCTGTTCAGAGCCTAGGATATTCATTCCCACTTTCCTCAGTTACTGTTTTCTCATGCCAAGAAGCACAAAAAACCACTAGAATTCTGGCTAATAGTGCACCATGTTGTTTCTGTGTCCTCAGTCAGTGGCCAGAATTGCATCTCTGATCCAAGGAGAGGGCTTTATAGCCACTTCTGAGTAAGCAGAACATTCTATGGCCAGCGAGCTCTAGCCTGCAGAAGCCCATGCTGTGTAGCCCCTTTACTCCCCTCTTGACTGATGACTGTGGGAGATGGAATGGTCCCCAAGTTTGTAGCTGGTAGTTGAGAATTCTCTCCCAGCAGCTCTTTAGATAGGCCTTCTTGTGTCCTCCAAAGGTGCAGAATTTGTTTCATGAGTCATCTGGTGAGAAGCCAGTGATTTTTTTTTGTTTTTGGCAGTACCAGGGATCGAACTCAGGACCTTGTGCGGTGCCAAAGAGCTAAATCCCTGGCCACAGTGACTATTAACTAACATCAAGGTCTTCTTGGAGCCAGATGTGGTGGCTCACATCTATAATCTCAGCCCTTCAGGGGCTGAGGCAAGAGGATTGTGAATTCAAGGTCAGCCTGGACTACATAGTGAGACTGTCTCTAAAATAGAAAGTCCTGCTTGGGACCAGGTTCACAGCTGTGGACTGTGGGTGCCTCCTACTTGCAGGGACTGGGTTTCTGCCTGGCCACTTAGCAGAAACTAAATCACTAATTTATTTGGCAAACTAGTCAGCTTTACACTTTTTTCTAAAGAGAATCTCAAGAAAGGCATCTGTGACAGCCTCAGCACTGTGCTCCCCAGAAGAAAAAGAAGATGTTGTTAGACATTGGTGGCTCTCTAGTTCCAGCTAAAGGGATGAGATCTCTGTCAGGAACACAGCCAGCACCGCAGAGCTCCCCCATACCTGGCCCTGGGGGCAGGGGGAAGAGGGAAAGGAGAAGGGGAAGCTTGGAGCACATGCACCCACTGGTCAGCTTGAGTCTGTAGCTTGTCCCACAGTCAGCGGAAGGAAAGCTGGGAGTTGGGGGCGGGAGTTTGGAGGGTGCATTTGAGATTGCTGTGGTGGGAGCTGCAGCTCACTCTCCAGTTTTCTGAGCACCAGTGACATCACCAGGGATGTGCTTTTCTTTTTCTGGGTTTGTCAGTATGAAAAACAATATTGCCAATTACTTTAAGCAAAGATTTTTATGTTGGAACCTACCAAAATCGTGGCAGACTTTCGGTGGTTTTTTTTGTTTTTGTTTTTATTTTGTTTTCTTTCAGTGTTTTTAATTAGAGTCACCTTCCTGCCAAAACTCCTTTGTGGTTTGACTTAGTTTAAAAATAAAATTCTCTTGGTCTGGGGATTTAGCTCAGTGCTTCTGGTGCCTGCCACGCAAGTGCAAGGACCCACATTTGATCCCCGGTACCAAATAAATAAATAAATAAATAAAAATAAAATTCTCTCACTTAAATGGGTTCATACTTTCCATAGGCATAAGCCTAACCCTGAGAAACATAAGTATCTTGGGAGCCCGCTGATCTGCTCAGGATAGATCGTCTGGCTTTTTTTCTATGGTATTTTCCTCCTACCAGACCTGATGCAAAGATAGGAAAACATCAACCTAATGTCAACATATGCTTTTTAAAATCTTACTAAATAAGCTCTTCAGGTGTTCTAGATGAAGGTAGGACAGTTACCCATGTCCTTGATAGTGGCAGCCTGTGTTTTCCATGTTTGTTTAGTGTGACACTGCACCTTCATCATGTTTTGTGTTATTTTTATTGTCATAAAATTTTCCTATGATAAAATAACAAATTTAATTTTTTTTTTAGTACTAGTGATTAAACTTAGGGCCTTCACACTAAACTACATTTCCAAACCCTTTTTTAATTTTTTTATTTTGAGACAGGGTCTCACTAGTACTAAGTTGCCCAGCTTGTGCTCAAACTTGTGATCCTCCTGCCTCAGCCTCCCCAAAGGGCTAAGATTACAAGCATGCACCACCATACCCAGCTTCTTCTTTTCTTTTGTATATATCTAAGTGTAAAATATGTTTCACTTTTTTGAGGGGAGGTATAGATCTCACTATATTGCCAAGGCTGGCCTCCAAATCTTGAGCTCAAGTGATTCTCCTGCCTTACCCTTGAGAGTAGCTACAGGCATCCACCAGTGCACCCAACCTCTGTTGACGGTTGTAAGGAATATCAGACTTTCACAGAGGCGGCACCATTTTACCTTCCTGCCAGCAATGTAGGAAGAAGGGTTCCAGCTTCTTCATTTCCTGCGCAACACTGTTCCAGTTCTATTCTTTTGATACTAGCCATCCTAGTTAATGTGCAGTATAGTAAGTCCCCAACTTAAGAACGATTTCTGTTCCAGGAGAATGTAAGTTGGATTTGTTTGTAAGTCCAACAAAGTGAGTCTTACACACCTTTGACACAGATGTACAAGATGAAGCATAAAAAAACCAAACAAATACTGTAAATAAACTTTTTACTTTCACAGTTACCTTAAAATGGTGATGCAGTACCATCTTTTCACCTCTGTCCAATCTCTCAATTATTTTCACTTTTGTTTCCATTATTATTGATTTGCACTTCCTAGCAGTCCCCTCCACAGCACCACTGCTTTTCCTCTTGCTTCCAGACGTCCTGGGCTCTGACTGAGCACTGTACTGCTCTACACTATCACACTGTTCAGTAAACCCACGGCAGCACAACTCTGATGATGTCTGGCAGACATGTGATTTACTTCCACGATTTGTTTGCATCTACGAATGTTCATAATGTGAGGTCTGTTCGAATCTGTGAAAGTTTGTAACTTGAATGTTCATAAATCAGGGACTTACTGTAATATTTTCATCATGTAATTTATCACAATTATTTTCCAGCCAGTTTTCCAAGACACAGGAAGAGCACTACTCGCGCCGTTTGCTCACTTTCATTGGCTCACATTTCTGGGGCCTCTGTGCCATCTGTCAGCAGAGTCTGTGGGTGCCAGATGAGGCCTGACCCAGGAAGGATGACTTGCCTGAGTCCCTTACTGATGTGTGTGTTCTTCCTTCTTAGCTCCCAGGAGGCAAAGAGTCTGAAGGTGGAGCTTCATAGCCACTCAGATGTCCCTTTCCAGATGCTAGATGGCAATAGCGGTCTGAGTTCTGAGAAGATCAGCCATAACCCCTGGAGCCTGCGCTGTCACAAGCAGCAGCTGAGCCGCATGCGCTCTGAGTCCAAGGACCGAAAGCTCTACAGTATCCTTATCTCCCTCCTTCAGCACTGTCTCCTGGGATTCCCTCCAGACCTGAGATCCTTCTCTGTCCAGGGATCCCTCTTGGTTTTCATCTCCTTTTTTCATAGATTCCTCTTCCTTCTTTTGCATCCATTAACGTGTTTTTTTCTCCTTTTGAACATGGTAAGGCAGAAGCTTAAAATTTGATAGTAGAGCTGGGTGTCATGGCACACACTTGTAACCCCAGCACTCTAGAGGCTGAGGCAGGAGGATTGCCACAAGTTCAAGGCCAGCTGGGGCTACGTAGTGAGTTCAAGGCCAGCCTGAACTATAAAGGGAGACCCTGTCTCAAAAAAACAACAAAAAAAATTTTTTTGATAGTAGAGCCAGACATTTTGGCACATACATGTAATCCCAGCATTCGGGATGCTGAGGCAGGAGGATCACCGAGAGTTTGAGGCCATCCTGGGCTACATTGCCTATTGCAAAAACCAAAAACAAGGGGCCAGGGATTTAGCTCAGTGGCACAGCACCTGCCTCACAAATGCAAGGTCCTGAGTTCGATCCCCAGTACCAAAAAACCCCTAAAATTGACAGTCTAGAACAGTGCTGTGGGATGTTTATAAAAGTCAACTGATAGAAATTTAGTGAGAAAATTACAAGATAGATTTTCTTTTTGGGTAGATTGAACCTAGGGCCTTATGCTTCCCAGGCACTGAGATATATATCCCCAGCCCCAGGCAGATGCTGCAATCCAGTGTTTTCTAAAATTTCCTGTGGGGAATGTTAGAATCTGAATTCCTGGATTTGGTAGTAATGTTGCAAAGACATCTTCCTTATTAGGCCTGGATGAGGTGCTGGCTTGAGTAGGGCCTTGGTTTACTGATGGTGACTGTGATGTGTTCAGGTCTACCAAATCTTTATTGTCTGCAAGGTAGATCTAAAGTTTTTTTTTTTTTTTAATGAATCAGTGGGGCCAGGGATTTAGCTCAGTGGTTCCAGCGCCTGCCTCCAAGCGCAAGGTCCTGAGTTCGATCCCCGGTACCAAAAAAAACAATAAATAAATAAAATGAATTGATGTGTTCTATGTATATATAATGGAAAATTATATGCCCATTAAAAAGAATGAAATTGGCCTGGGATTTAGCTCAGTGGTTCCTCCACCTGCCTTATAAGTGGAAGGACTGGAGTTTGATTCCTGGTACCAAAAAAAAAGAATGAAATTGATACGTGGCATACATGGATTAACCTTGAAAACATTTCTCTAAGTGAAATAAGCCAGGCTTAAAAGGACAAATGCTGTACAATTCCTTTGGTATGAGATCCCTTAAATAGAAAAACTTGTAGAGATAGAAAGTAGTATGTCTGTTTTTCAGGGGTTCTGGGGAGGGGAGTTGGCAATTACTGTTTAATGGGTACCAAGTTTCAGTTTGGGAAGACGAAGAAAATCCTGGAGGTGGATGGTGGTGATGATTGTACAACAATTTAAATATACTCAGTGCCACTGAATACATTTAGAAATGGCCAAAATGGTAAACTTTATGTGATGTGTTTTGCCACAAATATTTTTTGTTAAATAATAAGCTAGAAGTGTGAAGCCCACATTTGAGAGTTTGTGAGGTTAATACAGTTTACATTAGACTAAAAAGCCCCTTTTTCTAGAATACCTTTGTTGTGCTTTCCTGGGTGGGACTGACAGCGAGTGTGGCTGTCATTCTTCTTGACCATGGCCCAGAATTCCTCCTGCTTGAGAACGTTGTTCACCATTTCAAGTACCCCTGTGTGCTGGACCTGAAGATGGGTACTCGGCAGCATGGGGACGACGCATCAGCTGAGAAGGCTGCCAGGCAGATGAGGAAGTGTGAGCAGAGCACATCTGCCACGCTGGGGGTCAGGGTCTGTGGCATGCAGGTGAGTCACCACTGGTTCCAGCCTTGGTGCTGCCACCTGCGTGTTTTAGGTGATTTGTCCTCCTGGCCCCACTGTTCGGGAATCTCCTCCAAGAGGGTGAGTCTCCCACAGGGTGCAAAGTACATCCTTGCATGTGTCATCCCTAAGCTCTCCTGTCCTTACCTCTTGACCTTGATCTGAGCTCCAGGTATGCAGCTGCTGTGAGAGCCTGTAGTCTCAACACTGGGACAAGTATGTCAGAGGAGAATGGAGGACAGTACCATAGATGTTGCCATGGGCCCAGTGCTGGCGTTACAGTTCTATAATGGGGAAACCCAGGGTGAACGTGGCCTGTTCTTCTCTAGTTGGAGGAGCAAACAAAGCTCAGTTTGGTCAGCGCCTTCCAGATGATGCTTGCCCAGGCAGTGTTGAGGTCATCTGACTCCCCGGTGCTCACCCTGTCTTGTTTCCTGGGATTTCAGGTGTACCAGCTGGACACAGGCCATTACCTCTGCAGGAACAAGTACTATGGCCGTGGGCTCTCCATTGAAGGCTTCCGCAATGCCCTCTATCAGTACCTGCACAATGGGCTGGACCTGCGACGTGACCTCTTTGAGCCTATCTTGAGCAAACTTCGAGGCCTCAAAGCTGTGCTGGAGCGGCAGGCCTCCTACCGATTCTATTCCAGTTCTCTGCTTATCATCTATGATGGCAAGGAGTGCTGGTCTGACCTGCGTCTCAAGCACCTGGACATGGGGAACACTGAGGTGGCACCACCCAGTGGCCCCAGCACTAGCCCCAGCGGCATGAACCCTGAGCCGGGCCCCTCCTGTCCACCCAAAGTGGATGTCCGCATGATTGACTTTGCACACAGCACCTTCAAGGGCTTCCGGGATGACCCCACTGTGCACGATGGGCCAGACAGAGGCTATGTGTTTGGCCTGGAGAATCTCATCAGCATCATGGAACAGATGCAGGACGAAAACCAGTAGGCCCAGTTCTGGGCCCCTGGTACCCGTTCCTCTCCACCCGCAGGCAGGGACCATTGCTCTGAACTTGCCATGAGGACACACAGACTTACTTTTAAAGGGTTGTATTTCTCTTTGGTGTAAACTAAAAGAAATGTTTTTAGTTGTAGCCTGGAATCCATATATACAAAGTGAAAGAGAGCAGAACATATGCTCTCTCAGCCAGGCTTCTTAGCTTTATGGCTCTGACTGCTGTGTCCAGGATGACTTAGGAAGGAAGAGGTGCCCCTGGTGGGCTTGGCAGCAGAGTCACGTACCCTTGGACTTTGGTTTCTTTGCCTAGACCTTTGGGATCTGTGGCTGCAGGGTCCTGCTAATTGTGGGGTGAAACCCTGGGCTGGCACAGGTTTCCTTCATGCCCACTCATCCCTTGTTCTTCAGAAGTAGAGGCTTGGGTCCCCATCTCTCCGGGGCATTTCATTCTTGTGCTATGAGTGTCAGTAGCTACTGATTGCACATAGTTGGGCCTTGGGTCTGATTTTGGCATGGGTCTAGGTTCATGAAGCTGAGCTGAAGCTAGCTCATGGCAGGGAGCAGGCTATTTCCTCAGTCACTCATTGCCATTTGAACTACTACTATGCCCACAATCCCAGCCAGCCTCTCACCGAGATCCCTTGCCTAAGGAGGCCGTTACTCCTGCCTCACTGAAGGGGCATGACTGTGGGGCCCAGTAGGCCTCAAGGCTGGTGTTCCAGACAGTACTTGAGTTCTCGTGCTGTGGGTGGGGGTCTTCCTCCTCTAGATCGGGCAGCTGTGTTGCCTCTGGATGGGCAATCCTTCAGGGCTCAAGGGCTGTGGTCCGCTCAGGGTCTCGCACTTTCCAAGGCCAAGCTCAAGGCAGGCAGCCCATTGTGAGGTATGCTAGGCCCTGGGTCTGGAGGGAGAACTTTAAGGTTGTCTGCTTTTAGGGACATTGGACCCTGGGTGCAGGTGCCCAGATTCTGCTAATGAGAGCTTTGTCTGATTAACCCTGGGGTCTGTCACTTCGTCCATATGTCCACCTTGCAGCCCTGTTGCATGGGGATATTTCCCCTGGGGTGTAGCCTTGCTTGTTAGTATATTCTGATTTCTTTCATGCTGTCCTCAGCAAAATAATTCTCTTTCTCATTTCTGAGGTGAGCTTTTGCCCTTCTATAGCAGGTGCTGCCTTTTTTAAAAAAAGATGAAGTACCAGAATGAATTATAGGTAGTGTTTCTCTGCTGGTCCAGTGCCCTTTCTTGTGGGCCTGCAGTGTGGCCCTCAACACTGACAGCAGACAGTGAAGGCTCAAGGGGTGATCCTGTCTCATTGTTTTAGTGATTTTTGCTGCTAGCCCTTAATGGCATGGAGACTCGCTGCCTCTAACACAGGTGGCCAGCAGGTGATTCTGCACTTGGCCATTGCCAGGGTTACCCTCTCGTCCAAGAATAGGGCCACTGTCATTGTCACTTTAGACGTGTCCCTATTTTGTCTTCAAAAATAAGCCTATGTCTGAGAGGCCTTGGTAACTGAAGGACTAATTTCCCTCTGAAATGGGTTACTTGATAGAGCCCACCTCTCAGCTCTGTGACCCTGGCTGGGGCCAGTGGTGGATAGGTCCTTGGGGCCGGGGTGGCACAGCTTTGCCTATTTCTGGTCAGTAACGACCATCTTTCCTCTACCAGTCTGTGGCTTTGGCCCTGAAGGCAGTCGCCACTCTTCGTTAGTGTAGACAGCCTTCCCTGGCAGGGTAACGGGTAAGACAGTGGGTTCGGGTTTGGGGCCACTCGAGCTGCCTGGGAATGTGTTGTGCCTCCTCAGTTCCCAGATGCTGGGAGTGGACGCTGCCCCTTACCAAAGGGAAGGTTGAGAATCCATTTATGATCTGCGTTCTCCTGGCACTAAGAAGAGTGGAAGGGCTGGGACTTGCTGCTGCAGCCCCAGTAGAGGGCCCCTTTTCAGCACCGTGGGAGACCCAGTCCTGAGAGCTGAAGGCTGGTGGCGAGTGTGCACACATTGCTGCCCCATTCTAACTATCCCAGGCCACAAAGCCCAGACCCTTGGCAGCCCCGTCTTCCTAGCCCCAAATTGGGACCAAGGTGCAAAATGGGATCATGGGTTGGGGTGTTTAGGCCGCCTCTCTAATACTTCCCTGGGCAAGCTGACACTGGCGGGGGTGGGGGTGGGGGTAGGAGTGGTACGGGGCGTCTGGTGCTCTAGAGGAAGGGGACTAGGTTGCAATTTGCCAGGGACCTGCCCCTCCCTGGGCCTATGCGATGGGTGTGTGATTCCCACCAAGGACCAGGGCTAGGCTTGATCACTAGCAACTGCTCTCATGCTCACACCTGGCTACGTGCACATTTCCTAGATGCAGATTGCTTTGAACTTTGCAGCTGTACTGTTTGGTTATGTTTGTTCCGATTCAAGAATTGAGAAAAATATGGAGAACTCTGAGAAGGACCTGGTTCCTTTGCTACTTGGGGAAATGTTAAAACCTCGCATCTGGGAATCTACTACTTCTAGAGGCTAAGCCTGTCCACATCGCCCGAGGTCTGCGTCCTACAAGACGTGGGTGCGGCCGCGCCTCGGGGCGGTTTCATTTTCTCCGGACCTTGCGTGTAGGGGAGGGGGTGCTCGGGCCGAGCCCACCCTTCTGTATACCCAGCGCTGCACACCCTGCTTGTGTCTGAGGTCGCGTATGTCAAAATAAAGCCGCTAGCAACGAAATTTGTCTGCGTCTTTGGAGGAAACCACCGCACAGCTTCCAGAGGGACCGGCCTGGTGCGGCTGGCAATCCCCTGACTTCCTAGGCCCCTCCTTGGCCGGAAGCTTCTATCTGGCAGCGGACGGAGGTAGCGTAGGGAGGCTTTCCTGATTCTGGCCGCCGGTTCTGCCTTTGGATCTACCAATGGGCAGTTGACCCGCGGGTCCTGTCCGGGTTCCCATAGCAGCCTGGCGCGCTCGGGCTCTCATTGGCTACATCTGCCTCAGCGCCGCACCCAGCGCTTCGACGCTGGCGGCCGTGCCACGTAGACGGCAACCTATTGGCCCACCGTGGTCACGCCTCTATCCGCAGCCGATCCCCGTCAGGCATCCTGGGTCCTGTGTCGCTTCCTGGGTTCTGGCGTTAGGACAGACTCGGGACAAGCTGAAAGCAGAAATTGGCCAGTCTGGTTGGTGAGGGGCGCCGGTTAAGGCGCCGTGGTGGAAGTGTGCGGCAGGGGTCGTCCAGGCGGGCAAGCATTCATTCCCGAGGCTCGCAGGCACGATGAAGGCCCTGATCTTAGTGGGCGGTTATGGGACACGGTTGCGGCCGCTGACGCTGAGCATCCCGAAGCCACTGGTGGACTTTTGCAACAAACCCATCCTGCTGCACCAAGTGGAGGCGCTTGCCGCGGTAAGTCCCGGGGTCTGACCTTCAGAGATGGGGAATGGCTAGCAATTGGAAGTGAGCACTTCCCGGCTGAACGGGTTTATCGGCCTGCGTTGTTCTATCCAGGCAGGCGTGGATCACGTGATCCTGGCTGTGAGTTACATGTCTGAAGTGCTGGAGAAGGAAATGAAGGCCCAGGAGCAGAGGGTGAGGCACGGACTCAGTCTTTTCCCTTGGTCCCTGCTCAACTTCCTGTCCTGGAGGTAGAGCCTGATGCGGTGGCTTCTCCCTTCCAGTTGGGAATCCGAATCTCCATGTCTCACGAAGAGGAACCTTTGGGGACAGGTCAGTGGAGACAGGAAGGTCCTTTGGTAAGGGTTGAGGGCCGGGAAAAGGCTTTGACCCAGCCTGTGTGGGGCCTGGTGACTTGGACCCTTGCAAGGTGGTGACCTGCCCCCTTTCCCCAGCTGGGCCTCTAGCACTAGCCCGCGACCTGCTCACTGAGACTGCAGACCCTTTCTTCGTCCTCAACAGTGATGTGACCTGTGATTTCCCCTTCCAAGCCATGGTGCAGTTCCATCGGCACCACGGCCAGGAAGGCTCCATCCTGGTAAGGGCTTTGACATTTCTAGCCCCCTGACCAGCCTTCCTCACCCCCTAACCTTGAACTATCTTCTTATGTTACAAATGCAGAACTGTGCAGTATACTGTATGTCTTTAAGTTTCTGGGGCAGAGACCCTGAGACTTGGGACAGCAATGTGTATCTAGGCTCAGAAACATGGCTAGGCCTGAGGTGGTCCTGTATTCAGGTGACCAAGGTGGAGGAGCCTTCGAAGTATGGTGTGGTGGTATATGAGGCAGACACAGGCCGAATTCACCGGTTTGTGGAGAAGCCACAGGTATTTGTGTCAAATAAGATCAACGCAGGCATATACATCCTGAGCCCTGCAGTGCTGCGGCGCATCCAGGTGTGTGGGTGATAGCTCCTGGGTGGGCTGGGGTGGGCTGGGCCACCACTGCCATGACCCTGCTCACAAGCTGCCCACTCCCATAGCTGCAGCCTACATCCATTGAGAAGGAGATCTTCCCCGTTATGGCCAAGGAGGGGCAGCTATATGCCACGGAGCTGCAGGGTGAGGCAGGGAGGCCACAGGGAGGGGGTGGTCTGTGGCTGGGCTGAGCCCCCTGATGCATCCCTTCCTATAGGCTTTTGGATGGATATTGGACAGCCCAAGGATTTCCTCACTGGCATGTGCCTTTTCCTGCAGTCACTGAGGCAGAAGCAGCCTGAGCGACTATACTCAGGCCCTGGCATTGTGGGCAACGTGCTTGTGGTGAGGCTCTTGACCAACTCATCATTGATCCCCTTGATCTTGGGAGACAAATGGCCCACTTGTATTTTATCCCTCGATCTCAGGACCCAAGTGCCCGTATTGGCCAGAATTGCAGCATTGGCCCCAATGTGAGCCTAGGTCCTGGTGTGGTGATAGAGGACGGCGTATGCATCCGGCGGTGCACGGTGCTGCGGGATGCCCACATCTGCTCCCACTCTTGGCTTGAGTCATGCATTGTGGGCTGGCGCTGCTGTGTGGGCCAGTGGGTAAGCTTACAGGCTGGGCCTGGTAGGGAGAAGGGCAGGCAGGGAATGCATCTGCCACACTGATGAGGCCTCCCATCCCACAGGTGCGCATGGAGAATGTAACAGTTCTGGGCGAGGACGTCATTGTTAATGACGAACTCTACCTCAACGGAGCCACTGTGCTGCCCCACAAGTCAATTGGTGAATCAGTGCCAGAGCCTCGCATCATCATGTGAGGGGCCGTTTGGGGCTAGTGAAGCCCTCATTTCCCCATCAGCAGGAGGAGCACTGGCCTGACACATCAGAAGGCCCTGGACTTGGTGCCATTATCTGAGGAGGGGTAGACACCTGCCTTCTTGTGTGGACATACCTGGCAGCATCCCTGCTGGACACACCCCCAAAAAACCCCATGTCCTCAAGAAGGGCTGTGGCCAGGGTTGTATGCAATAATAATTTAATGCTCACTATGGCCCTGACTGAAAGTCAAGCACAGGCATAATTAGGATCATGGCTGGGCTCCCAGCAACAAGGCTACAGGCAGGCGAGGAGGAGATTGGACATGGTGGGGGGGGGGTGGCAATGGGGGACAGGGCAGAGGGCGCTCATAAATAGGGCTCGGCCTGGGTCTGGATTCAAGGGTGGAGGTTCTAAGATCAGCCCATGGGTTAGGTAGCCCTAGGGAGCCGAGGAGGTGGTGCCTGTATTTGCTACCTTGTCCCAGTCCTCTACAGACACAACGGTGGCTTTGCAGAAGAAGCAATCCTTGTTGTTCATCAGGTGCTGGTTGATGCAGGCTCTACAATGGAAGATGAGGACTCCCTGTTCCCAGTGTCCCTAGTGCCCCTCCCTCAAGCCCACAGGGCCTACTTACTTGCAAGATTTGTGACCACAGGGCTGGAACACAGCAGAGATGGGGTGGGCGTAGCAGATTGGGCAGAGGTCCTCCTCGCTGGTGGGCTAAGGGAGGAGCATGGAGCTTGGGGTGGGTTTGGAAATGACACCTACACTGGTTACACACAAAGATTCAGATGGCATGGACCTATGTGCTGTGGGCCCACTCACCAGGGATGCAGCTGCTGCCTGAGCAGATGCAGAGGTCAGATGAGCCAGCATCCGCTCCACTTGGGCCAGCTCCTCAGCATTGATATAATCTGTGTCTGCGTGAGTGGAAGGCAGTGTCAGGCCGAGTGTGGCCCTAGAACCTGGTATCTCTTCAATATCTCCAGCCTTTGGTGTTCTTGAGAACCCTGATCTCAGGCAGATCTCTTTGCTGACCCAGCCCAGGGCCCACTTACAGCTCTGCAGAGAGAAGCGCTTCCGGTCTGGGGCAGGCAGGGCAGTACCAGGTGCTGGAGGCTCTGGCTGCCCCAGGAGATAGCATATGGATCTAAGCTGGAAGCAGGGATCAGCCAGGAGCACTGACGTGGCTCTCTCTGTCCTAGGTAGGGAAGGTGTAAGTGTTGAGAAGGCTTGGGCCTGCTGGAAAGTAATCTCTGAGCAAGCTGTGTGACAATCCAGACCTTACATTATTGCCCCTTCATCCTTTCCATCTCCCTGCTGCTTGCCAACCCTTAAATCCTGGATTCCAGTGAGGTCCTACACAGCCAACTTACCAGTTTAACATCACATAACGTGAGCAGCTTCAGCAGCATAGAAACATCTCCAGACTTTTCCTTTTACTCTTTGGGGAGACTGAAGGCCACCGGCCAAGGGCAGGCTGGGACGCCGAGGCCCAGCCTCACCCCCTCTGGTGGCCATCCTGGGCCCTAACTCCAGGGAAGGCAGCCGCCCTGCCCCTTGCAGCGGGAGCCAATGGGAGCCTGGGGCTCCGCCCCCTGCACCGTCACCTCCAGAGAATATTTAGAAGCCGACCAGGACCGCGCTAGAGAAAGCTAGGGAAACGAAGGGAGTGCTGAGCGGTGGGCGGCCCCACCTCAATCTGCAAACGGCAGCAGATGCCAGGCGTATGAGGCGGGCCTACTACAGTGCCGCCTCTACCATGGGCCACCAGGTACCAGTACGTTGAGCCCGAGCAGAAGGGGGTGAGTCCCAGAGCTGCGACCTGCAGAGCAGCCCTATCCCATCCCTGAGTCGCTGCCATGACCTGGCTGGTGCTGCCGGGTGCACTGCTGTGCATGCTGTGCTTCGGGTTAGGCACCCCGGATTCTAGAGGCTACCCGCCCCCTGCACTCCACGACTGCCCTTACAAATGCGTCTGCGCTGCCGATCTGCTGAGCTGTGCAGGCCTCGGGTTGCAGGACGTTCCGGCCACATTACCTGCAGCTGCTGAAGACCTCGATCTGAGCCACAACGCGCTCCGGCACCTCCGCCCTGGCTGGCTAGCGCCCCTCTCCCGGCTGCAGGCCCTGCACCTGAGCCACAACAAGCTGGATGCACTGGGTCGGGGCATCTTTAGCAACGCCAGCGGCCTGAGGCTGCTCGACCTGTCGGCTAATGCCTTGCGGGCACTTGGCCGCCATGACCTTGATGGGCTGGAAACACTGGAGATGCTGGTTCTGTATAACAACCGTCTGGCAAACTTGGATGAGCATGCCTTCCACGGCCTGAGAGCTCTTCGCCACCTCTATCTGAGCTACAACGAACTCACCTCTTTCTCTTTCAACCACCTGCACGGCCTGGGCACGACCCACCTGCGTACTCTGGATCTCTCTTCCAACCGGCTGGGACTCATCTCGGTCTCCCACCTGGCCACACTGCCCGCCTTCCTCAAGAACGGGCTCTACTTGCACAACAACCCGCTGCCCTGTGACTGCCACCTCTACCACCTGCTGCAGCGCTGGCACCAGAGAGGCCTGAGGGCCGTGTGCAATTTTGCCCGAGAGTACAAATGTCTGGCCTTCAAAGTACCCTCATCTGGTGTGCGGTTCTTCGAGCACAGCCGAATCTTTGAGAACTGCTCAGCAGCCCCGGCCATGGACCTAGAGCCATCCGAAGTGCAGCTACAGGCAAAGGTGGGTGAGTCCCTGAGGCTGTACTGCAACACCAGTGCTCCGGCTGTGAGCATCGCCTGGGTCTCCCCGCAGCATGAGCTGCTCCTGGCACCAGGATCCCGTGATGGCAGCATCACAGTGCTGGCGGATGGCAGCTTAGCCATTGGCACTGTGCAGCAGCAGCACGCAGGCATTTTTGTGTGCCTGGGCATTGGGCCCCGCCTGCACCACAACCAGACGCTTGAATACAATGTCAGTGTGCACTTTCCACATCTGGAGCCCGAGGCTTTCAACACTGGCTTCACCACACTGCTGGGCTGTGCTGTGGGCCTGGTGCTTGTGCTGGTCTACCTGTTTGTGCCACCCTGCCATGGCTGCTGCCGCTGCTGCTGCCACCACCAGCTCTGCTGTGGCTGCCGCTGGCCCCAAGCACCCAGCCCACTCCAGGAGCTGAGTGTACAGTCCTCTGTGCTCAGCACTACACCCCCAGATGCACCCAGCCGCAAGGCCAGTGTCCACAAGCACGTGGTCTTCCTAGAGCCCAGCAGGAGGGGCCTCAATGGGCGCGTGCAGCTGGCAGTTGCTGAGGACTTCGATCTCTGCAACCTTTCGGGCCTGCCACTTAAGGCTGGTTCTGAGTCTGCCAGCTCCATAGGCTCAGAGGGGCTCATGATGACCTAGGCTGCCTAGGGCCTACCCTGCCCACGGCCCTCCTCCTGCTTGTCCTGCTCACTACTGCTGTCCAGAGGACTGCCGGATGCTTGTGGGAAGCCCTGAACCTGATCCCACAGTTCCTGTGTGGACCTTGACCTGAACCCAGGGGCCCTACTCACTGGTAGAGGAGTTGGGGTCCCTAGTTTGCCTTCTGCGCTGCCTAGCACAGGACCCCAAGGTCCTGGGGCCTGATAGTGCCTGCTTCCCCTGGGACCTCCTAAGCCCAAATGTCCCATGAGGATTGGGGACCAAGCCCACCTGGAAGACCCCTTGCATTTAAAGTGTATTCAGGAATATGGGCCCACAGAGGGAAAGAGAGGAGGGCTCAGATTCATGCCCTATCCCAGGGCAGGAAGCAGCAGAGGAGAAAATAAGCCCTCCCTCCTTCCCTTGGTGAATGAAACAGAATGCCCTCTGTCAACCAGCATCCAACTCACTAAAAGCTTCAACCATCAGTCTCGAGAGACCCCTGGAGGCGTGGAGTCCCAATCAGTATGGCCCTGGTCTCTCTGGCCAGAGGGATCCAGCAGTCACTCTGAAGGCAGAGCCCATCCCAAGGGCTCCCAACACAGAAGTAAAGAGCCTGGTGAGCAGGCCAATCCAGGAGGGCTCACCCAAAACTTGATGTCTCTCAAGGCAGAAGCTTAAGGGCTGGCACTGGTCTCACCCTAATGGCTGAGGGACAGTGCTGGCTTTGTATGCATCTCACTGTAGTGGGGAGGGGAAGGGGGTCTGGGAGCCCCTCAAATGTGGGGGCTGAGCTGGGAATCACCATGACTGTCCTAGCCCTACTGTTAAGGACTTTCCTAATAAAGGCAGTATGTGCTCATTGCTGGACCCTTGAAGATAACAGACGCATTGTGTGCTCAGCTCAATTCAGCAGTGTTGCCCTGGCCCTTGCAGGAAAGCACTGCCCCCAACTCCCACCCAGAGGCACAGCTGTAAGCCAGGGAACCCTATCCTGCTGGCCCCCTGAGTCTTCTACCCAGAACAGCTACCACTGCCACCTGTTCAGGCAGTTCACATCCCTCCACCTTCCTTCTACTTACTGAGGTCCATTTTTAAGATGAGACTGAAGCTCAAGGAGGTCCTGCCCACCCTCTCCTCACAAGAATCCCCCAGCTCCCATGGGGCTCACAATCCCCAGCACTCACTCTGAGGCTGGACCATGCACCAGGAGCCGTACCAGGATGCCCGTTACTGCCACCAGGATGGGGTAGTGGTCCACGCTCTCCAGACCTAAGTGGAGGAAGAAGGGAGATGAACACCCACATACTCTCTCAGCAGAGGCCTGGGCCCAGCTAATGCTGTTCATGCTTCCCACTGTCCTCCCTACAGAAGGGGAAACAGACTGGGGTGCTATGCCTGATCATCTTGGCAGAGAAACCAAGGCCTGTGGTATGTTGTTGGGGTGCAAGGCATCTAGGACCTTACCAGGCAGCCGCAGGGTAACCACACGGTCAAACAGGTTCCTTTCAGCTGTCACCCGGTTCAGCACCTGGTTCAGCAGCTGTGAAGGCAGGAGCCTGTTGGTGAACAGGCCAGCTCTCCAGCCATGTCTCCAGAGCCCGTCCTCCCTGCCAGGTGCACACACCTGTGCGAGACGCCGCAGCAGCATCTCAGAGGTAGGCCAGGCCCAGTCGAGGAATATCTCAGGCACCAGCGTGATGGTCATTTCCAGGACACGCAGCAGGCTGACTGACAGGTCAAAGCAGGTGGCACACACCTTGAGCTGCCTGCTATCTACAAAGTTTCGCTCCAGGCGCTCAGCAGCCTGCTGAATCTGAAGCACCAGAAAGTGGACAGGCAGCAGTTAGCGGCCTGCTGCACCCCAGGGCCACACCTTGCCCCTGAACAAGCCTGGCCCCCCAGACCCCCACCCTGGCCCACCTCCTGGATCATGCCGATGAACTCAGAGAAGGCCCAGTTGAGCTGATTCAGGACACTGTTGAGGAAGCTAGGTGCCACATCAGGACCCTGCCGCAGCAGGTCTGCCATGTGCTGCTGCAGCAGGGTGGAGGGACAAGGCTCTGTGGGGAATGGGGAGGGAGCATTACAGGGACTCCAGGGCAGCAGCCCTGGCTGCCTCTGTTCACTCCCTGAGCCACTGGCAAAGTCACCAAGGCAAGAGAACAGGGCATAGTACTGGCTGGGGGCTCAGGGCTCCTCTCCTCCCTCTGTTGGGCAAGCCCCAGACTTCAGGTGTCTCTCGCCCCCACACCACACCATCCCCAGGGCTAGAGTAGCTGTACAGCTGCACTCCAACCCCAACAAATTCTGAGTCACATACCCATCAGACATGGTCAGGTACCCAGTGGTATCAAGGCCAGGTTCTCCAAGAGCCTACTGTGAGCCCTGTTGTCCTCTACAATCCTGTTGCCCTTGGCCTGCCCTTGATAGACAGCTGAGGTGGTGGGCACCAAGTCTGGCTGGCTGGCAGCAGTAACAAGAGCTCTTGGTTGCAGCTGGCCCAGCATCCCTCCCTGCCCTCCTTGATGCTAATCAATAGTTCCTGCAGCCACAGGATGGTGTCTGGGCCCACTGCTCTCTCCTCACAGCCCAGTTCTGCCCTAGAGGCAGGACAAGAGCATTTGGCAAGGTCTTGCTATGTGACTTTGCACAAGGCACCTGGCTTCTCCAGGGACACCCTGACTGCAAAGGCAGAATCATGCTACATGGCATGGCAAGAGTAGCATGTGGCAGGCACTCTACAAGGGGAAAGTGCTCAGTCTCATGGGACTTTGCTGGACACAGTCTCTGCTACCAAGCAAATGTCCCCTACTCCAAGAAGCTTCATGTGCATCCTCAGGAGCCCTGGCCACCCTCCAGCCTGTGCCTTTTTTTCTTTTTTTTGGATTTAGTTTTTGGAGATAGGGGTCTCAGCACATAGTCCAGACTGTCCTTGAACTCACTATGTACCCAAGCTGGCCTCAAACTTGCAGCAGTCCTCCTGCCTCAGCCTCCTGAGTGCTGGGATTATAGGTGTGTGCCACCACTCCCAGCTCTGTGCCCCTCTTGACTCAGGGGTCCAATGCCTAAGCCAAGCCCATATCTGGCTCCCACAGATAACAAAGAAGGAACAAGACAGTGCTGGGACAAGGATAGGAGTCAAGGAGCTGGCATGGAGGGCAAGGGACAGAGTATGAGCTTCCAGCACCCTGGGAAAATGTGGCATCTTTTCACTGCGACCTTTGTACAGTGACAGGCCCAAAGGGTACACATGGAACAGCAGAGCAAGAGGGAGTAGTCCCAGAGGGTCCTTGGGCTGGGAGCAAGCCAGGAAACGAAACCTGGCCACAGGCAGGGAGTCTGGAGCCTGCCACAAGTCTAGGAAAAGGGCTGAGGTGAGGGAGTATGGGAGAACCCAGGGTGATGGTCAAGGGCCACCAGTTTGCATGCAGGACCTGGCACCCAGATACTCACTCTGGAGGCTGGGCAAATTGGCATCATCAGGTTTGGTTTTCAGCAGATGTGGCAGCCGTGTGTAGCGGTATCCAAACCCACAGCCCTGGGGGTGGGGCCGGCAGGGGTCAGTGGAGCAGCACAACCTCTACCTGCAGCCGGCTCCACCCCCAGGTCAGGCTTACCCTCCAGAGCCGCACTAGGATCCAGTTGGTCTGGGCCCAGGGCCGCTGCTCATAGGGCGCCAGGAGATTCCTCACCATGGCAACACGCCTGTGAAGGTGAGGAATGGTGGATACAGGCGAGAGTGAGGCTGGGCATAATGCTGGGCAGGGGAGGATTTGTGCCCCCCACCCGTCCCTGCTTACTGCTCCTTGGGGATCCGCTCCACAGCCCGTAGGGAGTGTGGGTAACACACGTAGCTAGCCAGGGCCTGCATGAGTGAGTCTCGAATGTCTGCAGAGACAGGCCACACCTTAGCAGGTAGGTATCTGCCAGGAGCACTGTGCCTCATACCCACCTGGCCACCAGAGATGCCATCCCAGGTCCACCCCTAAGCCCCCTCAGAGCACCTTACCAGTGCCTACAATGCGTGTGTCGGCAAAGTGTTTGGCAAGGATGGCAGCCAGGCGGGTCAGGGTCTCCTCGTAGCCTGGAAGGGTGGGGAATGAGAACTGGTGGCCCAGAGGCTAGCCTGTCCCTTGGCAGGGATTTCAGGTTTAGGGACCAGATTCCAGAGTTGGCTCCAGGGGCCAGCCTGAACCTGAGTTAGCATCTGGGGACACTGAGCAAGACACTCACTGGCAGTTGGGGAAGGGCAAAGGCACAGCCTTATTCTGGGGGGAAGGCAGGTCGTAGCAAGAGACCAAGGCCAGGCTCAAACCCATCTCAGTGCACACAATTGATGGCTCGGATACTCATAGTCCTGTCCTTGAACACAAACCCTACACTGAGGTCTGGGGTAGGGAAGGGCAGGGTGGGTGGGGCCTGGCAGCTCACAACCTGATCCAGACATAAAACACCAGGCCCAACTTGGAATCAGTGGTCTTTCAAAGTGTAGGCTCCTGCCTGCTCCCAGTAGGGCCCCACCCCCTGCTGTGATAGAAGACAAATCACTTTGCCCCTGACCCGCTGCTGTGCTCCATGACTGATGCCAAGGTGGCAGGGCAAGGGGCCAGCTGACTGCCAGACAACAGCAACTGTTCAGCAGTACCAATAAGGAAATGAAAGCCAGGGGACCCCACCCCATCTGTCTGCTGCCAGCACTGAGGAGCTGTTGGTTCCATGACTGCAGGTTCTGGGACAGGGAACATGCAGCAGGAGACACCACCTCCTTCCCACATGTGAGCTGCTAGGTCATGGGCAGCTGGGATCTGGGCTCCTGCAGTTCACACTCAAGGCCCTTTTCCTGCTCCCTCCAGGCTAGAATGCTCTGTCACCTGGGAGCTCCTCCATGCTGTGCACAGGGCCAAAATAATTCTTGAGAGCACTGTAGCTGTTGATGGCAACATTCAGGTAGAACTCAGGCATGAAGGCGAAGAGGGAGCCGGTACGGTCCCCATGCTCGATGGTCCGCAGGCAGATGCGCAGCAGCCAGTAGATGTCCAGCATCTTCTCCTGCGGGAGGCACACAGGGTGCTGCTGGGCTGCTCACTGGAATGGGCATGGGACATGGTCTGGTCTGGGGACGAGGAAGGCCTCTTCAGGACAAGGACATCAGAGCTGCACCTGGACTGCAGCAAGTGTGCACAGTGGCACAAGCAGAGACAATCAAGTCCTCAGGAGGCAAGAAGGAACACTGAGGTGGAGAGGTAGGTAACACTGTACCCTGGATCAAAGTTTCTGGTTTTTTACTTGTGGGTTTTTTTTGTTTTGGTTTGGTTTGTGTAGCGTCAGGGTCTTAAGTTGTAGTCCAGGCTGGCCTTGAACTCACTATATAGCCCAGGCTGGCCTTGAACTTGAAGCAATCCTCCTGCCTCAGCCTCCAGAGTGCTAGAGCATGCCCAGCTACAGCTCTGGTTTGTAAGAGGATGCTGCAACCAGAAGGCTGTGTTAGAGCATTGCCCGTTGAAGAAAGGGCAACAGCTACTCAGTGAGGAAGCTACAGTCTCAGGCTCAATAGAGTAGGTGAAGGGCTGGGTGGTAAGGACTGAGGGCTTCGGGGTTAAGAAAAGGTCACATCAAAAATAAGGCCCAGTGGGCTGAGGATTTAGCTCAGTGGTTTCACTGTCTGTGCTGCAAGCGCAAGGTCCTGCCTTTGATCCCTGGTACCAAAAAAAAAAAAAAAAAAAAGAAGACCCAGAAGGGCTAGGGATTTAGCTCAGTGGTGCTGTGCCTGCCTTGCAAGCGCAAGGTCCTGCCTTTGATCCCTGGTACCAAAAAAAAAAAAAAAAAAAAAAGAAGACCCAGAAGGGCTAGGGATTTAGCTCAGTGGTTCCACCGCCTGGCTCGCAAGTGCAAGGGCAAGGTCCTGAGTTTAATCCCTGGTACCAAAAAAAAAAAAATCAAAAATAGAATAAGGCCCAGGGCCAGGAATTTAGCTCACTGGCACCACACCTGCCTTATAAGTGCAAGGTCATGAGTTCAATCTCAGGTAATGCAAAAAAAAAGAAGAATGCATGAATTTCCAGTTGGGTGCAGTGGAGCACATCTGTAATCCCAGCACTCAGGAGGCTGAGGCAGGAGGCCAGCCATGAGTTCAAGGCCAGCTTCAGCTACACAGTGAGTTCAAGGCCTGCCTGGGCTACAGAGTGAGACCCTGTCTCAAAACAAACTGAAACAAAACAAAAAAAGAATGAGGCCCACATTTCTGGCAGTGGTGGAGCCTCCATGGAGGTCAGAAGCATGAGGAGAAGCAGGATGTCTGATGCAGGGGTGGAGGGCAATGTGGCTTAGGACAAGTGGAGCCCAAGGCATCTGCACCCGCTCCTAGAGGTGTGTGGAGAAGTAAGGTACAGTTTCATGTAGAGTGCCTAAGAGGAGATGGTGGAAAAAGGGGCAGTATGACCGCCAGTGGAAGAGGCCATAGTAAATAGATGGAACCTGCCGAGGTGTAGCTTGTGGTCCAAGGTGTAGCTGCCAGGGTCTGAGGATTACACAATGGGGGGAGGCCAGAATCGTTGACAGACACAGCTCGAGTGTGACCACAGCAGCCACACTTTACACCCGCATTCTGAACAGGACAAGAGCACAAGTGGGAAGAGTCGGCCTGGTAAACAAGGGCACCGGACATGCTGCTGCTACCAAAGGCCAGGGAGGCCTCGCCTGAGGTGGGATGACAGGCACAAGGCAAGGAGCCCTTGGTGGAGGTGGAGATGGGTCATGGAGGCTAGGGGAGAGCACATGGGGTGGCTGTCAAGAAACCTGGGCAGGGCCAGGGATTTAGCTCAGTGATGCTGTAACTGTCTCACAAGCACAAGGTCCTGAGTTCGATCCCCGGTACCAAGAAAAAAAAGAAAAAAAATCAACACACAAAAATCAACTGTAGAGCTGGGGATTTAGCTCAGTGGTTCCGCCGCCTGCCTCGAAAGCACAAGGTCCTGAGTTCGATCCCCTGGTACCAAAAAAAAAAAGAAAAGAAAACCAAGACACTTCAAATAGCAGCAAGGACTGGGGAATGTAGCTTAGTGGTAGAGCACTTGCCTAATATGTGCAAGCCCCTTGGTTCAATCCCCAACATCATAAAAAATAAAATAAAATGGCATCAAAAAATACTTAGGAGTAAAGTTAAGGAGACTAAAGACATTAAAGATCCATGCCAGGTGTGGTGACGCATACCTGTAATCCCAGCACTTGGGAGGCTGAGGCAGGAGGATCACTGCAAGTTCAAGGCCAGCCTGGGCTACATAGTGAGTTCAAGGCCAACCTGAACTACATAGCAAGACTTTGTCTCCAAAAAAAAAAAAAGGAAAAAGAAAAGAAATTAAAGATCCAAATAAATGGAAAGACACCCTATGCTCATGGACTGTCAGCATAATATTGTTTCTTTAAATAAATTTTATTTTATTTTATCCCTTCCCCCATCCAGGCCCCTCCCCCCCATGTACAAAAGCTTTGTTTCCATTTTTTCCTTCTATTTTCACTTTTTTTCTTGTCCCTTCCTTTTCTCTCTATAGCATAATATTGTTAAGATGTCAAAAGGGATCACTGATCTAGTGCAATCTCTACCAAATCCCAACAATATATTTTGTAGAAAAACCTATCCAGAAATTCACACAGAATTTTAAAGGACTTCAAGTAGCCAAAACATTCTAGAAAAAGAACAAAGTTGGAAGTTTCCTACTTCTTGATTTCAAAACTAACTACAGGATGAAAAGGAATTAAGATGTGCTATTTACATGTACCAACTCCCCACAACAAATGTTATCATGTCCTATAAACATGGTCTAATAAAAATAAAAGTGAAAAACCAAGGACTGGGCCGGGGATCTAGCTCAGTGGTGCCACTACCTGCCTCACAAGCCCAAGGTCCTGAGTTTGATCCCCGGTACCAAAAAAAACCACAACAAAAAACCAAAGACTTATTGCAAATCTGTGGTAATCAAAACTATGGTACCAGCACAGACCACTGGAATGGGATAGAGAGCCTAGAAACAACCCCTATCTACATGGGCAGACTGACCTTGACAACAGTGCCAAGACTGCTCAGCAGGAAAAAGCCAGCCTGGACCGATGGCACTAGGAATGCTGGGTAGCCACATGCAAAAGAATAAGAGCAACCCTTGCTTTATGCCATATACAAGTATTAACATGAAATGGATAAAAACCATAAACATAAGGTCTAAAACTTTATAAAACTCTTAGAAAATAGAATAAAAGCTTTATGATATTGGATTTAGCAGTGATTTCTTGGATGTGAAACCAAAAGCACAAGGAACAAAAAAACATATGGCGGACCACATCAAGGCGTAAAGTCTGCATCAAAGGAGAATCAAAAGAGTGATAAGGCAACTCAAAATACAGGAGGAAATAGCTGCAAGTCATGTATCTGATCAGGGGTCAAGATCCAGAATATATAAAGAAGTCTTCCAACACCACCACGAAAGCCCAATTCAAAAATGAACAAGTGATGTGAATATTTTCCATAAATGATGTGCAGATAGCAATAAGCACATGAAAATGTGCTCACCATTGTCAGCCATGATAGACATGGAAATCCAAACTACAATGAGTTATTCTCACAGCTCTTTAGGAAAAACAAGTTTCAGTGGGGATGTGGAGAAACTGGAACACTTGTGCCCTGGTGGTGGGATGTAAAATGGCACAGCTTCTATGGGAACAGTATGGCGGCTCCTCTTAAATTCAAAGTAGAAAGACCACATGATCTAGCAATCCATTTCTCAGTGTATACTTGAAAGAATTGAAAGCAGAGTCCCAAAGAAGTCTTTGTACACCTATGTTCACAACTGTGTCATTCACAACAGCTGAACTGTGGAAGCAACCCAAATGCCCACCCACATATGAATGGATAAACAAATTATGGGGTGTAAATATATATATATCAACATTATTCACCCTTAAACAGGAAGACCAGTCTGACACAAACTACAGTATGAACCTTGAGGACATTAGGGTTAGGCTAGGTGAAATAAGCCAAATACTATGTGATTTTAATCCTATGTGCTCCCTATAGTAATCAGTCACAGAGACAGGAGGCAGAATTGTGGTTGCTGGAGGGGGAGGGGAAGGAGGTCTAAGGAGTTACTATTTAATGGGTACAAGGTGTCTGTTTTGCAAGATAAAGAGTTCTGGAGGGCTGGGAATTTAGCTCAGTGGTTTCGCCACCTGATGCACAAGCACAAGGACCTGAGTTTGATCCCAGTACCAAAAAAAAAAAAAAAAAAAAAGAGTTCTGGAGACATAGAACACTGTGAATATATTTGACACTTAAAAATAACTAAAAGCTGCGCATGGAAGTGCATACCTGTCATCCCAGCACTCAGGAGGCTGAGGCAGAAGAATTGCCACAAGTTTGAGGCCAGCCTGGACTACATAATGAGTTCAAGAGCAGTCTAAACTACACAGTGACTCTGTCTCCAAAAAAAAATAAAAAAACAAAAAACTAAGATCTCTGCATATATGAGATGTAGCTTAGTGGTGGAGCACTCACCTCTCATGTATGAGGCCCTGAAGCTCTAGTTTTGATCCCCCCAGGGGGGTAAGATGGTAGTTTTTTTTTTTTTTTTGAAACAGGGTCTTACTATGTACCCCAGGCTGGTCTTGAATTCAGAGTGATCTTCCTGCCTCAGCCTCTCCAAGTGCTGGGATTACAAGCGTGTGCCATCACTCCCAACTCAAGATGGCAATTTAAAAAAAAAAATTGGGGGGGACAGGATTTAGCTCAGTGGTTCCACTGCCTGCCTCACAAGCACAAGGTTCCAAGTTCAATCCCTGGTACCCCCCAAAAAAACACCAAACAACAAAAAAAATTTTTTTTGAGATGAGGTCTCATTATATTGCTTAGGCTAGATCTCCAACTCCCGGGCTCAAAAAATTCTCCTGCCTCAGTCTTCCAATTAGCTGGGACTATACATGCATGACATTGTTCCTAGCTAAAGATGCTAAGTTTTATGTCATGGATATTTTATCATAATTTTTTTTTTAAAAAAAGCAGGCAGTGTGATGGGAAAGCAGGGGTCCTACAAAGATGATGTTGGAGAAGGTGACCAGTTTTCCTGGGGAGGTGGACAGGTGTGAAATTCAAAGTCACCCTAACATGATCATCTTCTTGGGGCTGGAGGAAAGGACGTCTGTGGCCTCAAGGGAGGAAGAACTGGGTGAGAGGTGGAGGTGGTTTAGGTCTGGGGAAAGAATCAGAGATGACAGATATGGGCACCTGGAGAGAGTCCCAGGGCACCATTAGGGGAGGGAGATGCAGCAGAGATGGAAGAGAAAACTCACTGAGAACAGCTGGGGCCTGGGTTCAGACTTTAGACTCAGCAGAAGTATGGGGCTGTCCCTGTGTCCCCCACCAGCCAAATGCCCTAGAAGGACAGAGCCTCCTCTTTCTAGCTCCTGGCTGTCTGCCAGTGTCCAGGAAGGCGCTTGGCATACTCCAGCCTTTGGGTTCGTGTCACAGATGAATGAGCAAGTGAAGGAAAGAGAGCAGGAAACAGATTAGCAGTCTTGTGGGTGGCAGGTGAATCAGCCAGAAGCAGGTGGCAAGGGCTCACTCAGCGAAGAGGGGTCAAGGACTGAGAGGAAAGGTGGGATGGAAGGAAAGGCAGGGAGGGACAGACCGAAGAGGGCAGGGGCATCAAGAGTCCTGGCCCAAACTATGGCCTACGGTACGGCTGGGGAGGGGCAGCCACTGGCTAAGGTCACACCCACTCACCTGGGAGTAGACAGTGGCGTGGACCCAGGCAAGACGACGGCTCAGGTGATCCAGCTTTTCCGAGAAAACTTTCTGGCTCTTGGTCAATTCTGTGAGGATATCCTTCCTCTGCCACCCCAGGTGAAAGGACAATCAGGAAATGGCCCCATGCCCAGGTGCCTGCCCCAAGCAGCCTGGTCATGGCCCAACTACAGCCTGGAGCAGTAAGGGGTTGGGTTCCACTGTCAAACTCTCTCCTGCCTCTGAGCAGCTGGTAACCCTGAGTGAACCCCAGTAGAAGGCCATGGACCCCTTGGATGTGGAAATGAGGCCCAGCTGGATATCTGTGGGGTCCTGGGCAGAGTACCCCTTAGACTCGATCGAGGCCAGAACTGCAGCTTCATTAGCTGTCCAGGCCCAGAGTGCCAATGACAGTGGAGGTGGGAAGGCTTGCCAGGGAAGCCTGGCTCAGGCCAGGAAAGCTGTGGCAGAGGGCGTCCCAAGAGGTGGGGGAGGCAGGCCCGCTTCCTGCTGACTCTGCAAAAGGCCAAGGAAGCACTCAAGACGGATCCATAATTGATGAGGAGAGTGGGTGTGCATTAGCACTTAGTGGGTGGGGGCAGGGCACATTGGTATAGGCTACAGCTGCTCAATGAGGCTCAGGTTGTGCAAGGCCTTTCTGAGGGTTGCTGCCTCACCACTGCTGTGGTGAAAGGTGGGGCCCTGGAAAATTTCGGACAGGAGCAACCCGGTACTGGGGGCCGGAGTAATACTGTAAGCTGCCCTGGAAATAACCCCTACATCCCGAGACCTGCCTGCTTGCCTGCATCCCAAGCCTTACCCGCTTGGGACACCTGCGGATCTTGTCTTCTGTGTCCCTCAGAGCCATCGCATACTCGTTGACATCGTCGGACACACCCACCATCTAGAGCATCAGATGCCACGTGACCCTAGGCACCTGCACCAGGTATCTTCACACCAGCCCAGACCCCTGGGCCACCAGGGCAGACTCCTCTCTCAAAAGGAAACCACATCAGCCTGAACAGCAGTTGCAGAGGCCAGCATCACTGCGCCACATCACACAGCACCCTGCGTGACACCCCTCCCCAGTGCATGCAGGCCATTGGCACAAGACCTTGCCCAGCTGCTGGTGGACGCTGAGGTTATACATCATGATGGCCCCATCTAGGACTTCCAGCAGGGAGTTCTCGGTGACAGGCTGCTCGGGTTCCTCAGGAGGCCGCCCCAGCAGCAGGCCCTCGTTCCAATGGCTGCCCTCAACTGGGGAGTGGGGAAGGGCAGGATCAGGCCAGGCCTCCTGGCTCCTCCCTAGGCCCAGCATCCTGGATGACCCTTGCAGCAGGAGAGAGGGCCCTTTCTCCCCTTCCCTTGCCTGGGAAGGGAACTGCAGGGGGAATGGGCAGAGGGATGGTGCGGGGAAGGCACTGGAGGACCTATTTTGGCAACATTCACTTCCTGCCTTCAGACTGTGCTTCGTGAACCAATGGGACTCTGCCAGGCCACAGGGCAGAGTGGGGAGACAGGGGTACTTTTGATTTTCCCCAAGGTGGGCACCTACTATCCTCACGAGTCCTTTGTTCCACGCTCAGTGTTCGGACCTTCACTTTCTCCGAGGTGCTCAGAGGCCGCCGTGGGGTCATGAGGCTCACAGCTGCTGTGCTGAGGAAGCGGTTGGCTCGGCCCAGAGTTGGTGAACTAAGCCAGCCTGGCCGGGGCAGGGGCAGTGCCCCTCCCATGGCCAGGGCTTGCATGGGGCGCTGCATTAGAGAGGAGGCCAGTGTCAACTCAGCTCCCCAGGACCAGGCCAACTGGGGTTCCCTTGATCCTCTGGGCTGGGCAAGGGAAGGGGAAGGGTAGGTTCAGCCTCTATCCCAGTGAGGGAACTGGCTGGTGAGAAGGCCCTTGCCTGCATGGTGGGGAGATGTACTTGCGTGTTACCCCTGCCCATATAACAAAGGAGAAGCCCCAGGTGCCGCCCCTTGCCTGTCCTTGCTGTGTACCTGGGCTGCAGACGGGGCTGGCTCCTCATCCTCATCCAGGTCATCCATCGTGGCTGCCTGCAGCTCCAGTGGGTCAATCACAATGTTAGCTTTGGCAGCAAGGTCATCTGGAGGAATGGCAGGACAAGGCTCCACTTTCCACTGTGTTTGCCCCTTGCCCCACCCCTGGCTCCTATCCAGTCTTCTCCCTGTACCCTACCCCAAGGGCACTTTTCTAGTAGCAGCTCTGGAGCAGGAGGCAGTGCCCACCATCTCTGTCTGTCCCCATCCTTGTTTTCTGTGACCTCTGCTCTGCAGGGCCTCTCCTACTATACAACTGCTCTATAAATCCAAGATGGTGCCAGTTCCCTTGGCCTTTGCTTGCTGCATTCTGCACTTTGCCTAGGGGAGCCGAGCCACATCCCAGGTTCCTCCCACCTCTATGCTCACAGCTGACAGAACCATCCCTGCCTCTAGCCCATGCCTTGCTGCTGGCTGCTGGCAGTGTCCCTCAGGCACACTGTGCAAACCTGAAACTATCACCTTAGTCTCCTCTCACAGTCGCTCTCCTTAATGCTGCCCCAGCCACACAACCTCTGGCAGGACTGAGATCACATGGTGGACACCCTTACCCACCACTGCCTAGACAATCACGATTGGCCTCCCTGTTCTCTTTCTCACCCACAATGAAGTAGCCAGAGGGGGGCTTGTGACACAGACCCCAACTTCACTGCCCTGTCTTGTCCCGGCCTTGCAAAGCCATCTCTGGAATGGTCTATGCCTCTGTGGCCTGCCATGCCCCTAGATCACTCCATCTGCCACTGCTCCCTGCCTCACATTTTATCCTCAGCACACCCACTGCATTCTGCCTCCCAGCCACAGGTAGTATCTGGCATCCATGCCCTATGCACACTGTGCCCTCTGCATGCAGCCAACCTGTGCCAACCCCTGAAGGCAACTCAGGCAGCACCTGCACACCCCCACCTCACCAAGGCCCCATGGTTTCCTGTCTGATTTCATCAGTGCACTTCAGCCTTCCTCCAGGATGGGTGCTAAGGGGATGGGACAGAGGCAGCTTGGCAGGTCAGCAACTCCCTGCCTGAGCAGGTGAAGGCCTGGGTGGCCTCTGGTGGGTGCAAGTTATTGTATCCACAGGAAAGCAGGGACTGTTCCTACCAGGCAGGGACCTGTTCACTGTCTAGGAGCCAACACCCACCTCTGAGGGTCTTCCGAAGGTGTGAGAGGAGCCCCCCAAGGCGCTGAAGGTCGAAGTAGTCCACTTTGCCATTATAGAAGACCTGGGGTGGGATGTAAGCCTCTGCAAGTCAGGGAGGCCAGGCCAGCATCAGAGTTCAGTAGAGGAAACTTACCGGATCCCTCTGCTCTATCTCACCCAGGTGGAACATCCCCACCCTTGCCCTCAACTGGCATTCCACAATACTTGGGCTGCTCTGAGACCAGGGCCACTCACCCTCACTGAAGCAGGCACGGGGGTTGGAAGCCTTGTACTCATCCCAATAGTAGCGCAGGGCAGAGATGAGCCGGTGCAAAAAGCAGACCATGTACTCAGGGGGGCAGAGCATGGGCATATTCTGTGAGCACAGGCCACGAATTATGCATGAGTGCTGTCCCAGAGCCCAGCCCACTCCTCAAGCAAGGCCCTGTCCCAGGGTCCAGGCTTGGGTGGGGAGGGATAGGCAGCAGAGAAGGAGGATGAGGCAGGGATAGGGTAGACTAAAGGTCTACCAGAAGTCAAGGGCACAGCTCCTACCAAGAGTGGGTTTCCCTGGAGGTCACCTACCCCCCGGCCACTGGCATTCTCTTGCAGAAACTTCCGGAACTTGGACAGGAAGATATACCTAGAAGCTTCACCCTTCAAGGAAGGGACAACCAAGGCTGTGATGGGCTGAGGTGAGCTCAAAGCCCTAACATACCCTGGGCCTTCTGTGGGAACCTGGGCCAGCCTCTGGTGTCTCAGTCTTAGGGCCCAGTATGGCATCCCTCTTGTGTCAGGGAGCCTCACCAGGATCTCAGAGACACTTACCCCACTGTCATCTTTATTGTCCAACAGCAGCTTCAGGATTTGGACCTGAAGTTCTTCTACCACTGTGGGGAGAGGTAGATGGCACTCAGGCTCCCAGAAATGGGAAAGAGGCAGAGGCTGGGGTCAGACTTCTACCACCAGGGATCCCCAAGCCCAACACAGGCATGGGCACTACCAAGTACCCCCAAATACATACATACAAGGCCCCCACCCCTACCCAGGCCAGAGGCAGGGGCCCACCTTCAATGCGCTTCTTGAGCCTCTGGCAGCCCCGCTCATAGGCTCGACGCCGGAGCCTCTCCTCTGACGTCTCCTCCTTCACCTCCTTATTCTCTCTGGCCTAGGCAGAGGCACAGGATAGAAAACAGTGGGTTACCAGGAGCTTCCCAGGCCAACAAACAGAAGAGCCTGCCACACTGGGCCAGCCTACCTCCCTGCTGGAGCAGCAGGGCCACCAGGTGGTGGGAATGAGCTCCTGCAGCCCGGCCTCCTCCACACGCAGGGGGCTCTTGATGTAGAAGAAGATGACAGACCGCAGCATGTCGAAGCTAGTGACGTCAAGGCATAGCTCGGCTCCCCACAGCACAGCCTGTGCACCCTCCTGAGTCCTCCTTGGAAAGCCCACCCTCACATGCTCACTGCCCACCACTATGTGCCTGTCTCCCCAGACCAGAGCCTAGAGAAAGAGCTCTGGTTGTCAAGCCCATGTGTGATAACCGCTCCACATAGGGACAGATAATGGTGAGATGGCTGGGGAGGGAACCTAGTATCTCCCAGCTTTATTTCTGGAACACCCCACAATGAGAAGATGGCTATGCGCCCAGGCTTCATAGCCAGGGGACCAAAGCTAGCCTCTTCTTCCTCTTAGTGATCTCCCCACTACCCAGTACTGGGAATTGAACCCAGGGCCTTCATACTAAGCTAAAGCTCCAGCCCTTTTTATTTTATATTTTCAGATATGGTCTTGCTAAGTCACTAAGTTGCTCAGGTTGGGCTCGAACTTTTGATCCTCTTGCCTCAGCCTCTCACACTGCTAGGATTACAGGTGTGCACCATCATGCCTGGCTTTAGTTAGATCTTAACACTGTGGAAAAGCAAGAAGAGCTGACTCCTTTGATATCTTGCGGGAACATGTACAAAATGTAGGCCTCTGGCCAAAGAGGGCAGGGGCTGGGGGCCTTTCTTATGCCTCAATGTAGCTGCAGTCTGCGGTGATCTGTAAAGTCCCGCAACCCTTTGCTCTGCTTTCCCTGTTCTGCAGAGAAGGTGCAGGGAGGGCTGGGTCTAGGTTGAGGGATCTGGTCTGGGGACCCCTGGCCCGATGGACATTGCTTCCTCTGGCCTCTGCTGACCTAAGGGCATTACATGACTGGGTGGCCAGGAACAAGAAAAGGATACAGGACATTGCTAAGCAGAAATTTGCGGGACTTCTCATGCCTCAGGATGGAGATAGTGAGTCTCAGATAGTGGATCTGTGGAGAAGGGGCACTCAAAATGGGCAGGAAGGGCCCAGGGGCTCTGGGTAGGGACAGGCACTCGCACCTGCAGGCTCAGGTCTGGAACGATTGGCGAAAACCGGTATAAGCGCAGCAGAGACATCATCAACTGCTTGAGGCAATCCTGTACCTCATAGTCCTGGGGAGAGATGCTAGGGCAACCATTTGCGGCTTTTCCCAGGGCCTCCCCATACCTTCCTTGGCCTGAGGTCAGGAGTCTCACCTCCATGAAGAGCCAAAAGAGGTCCAAGACCTGGTGCACCACGGACTGTGCCTGTGCAGGTGTGTCCTTCTCCACAATGCCCAGCAGGAAGTTTATGAGCACAGCCTCTACCAGGTATACCTTGTGCTGCACGAAGGACAGGCACTGTGAGGTGGGAGCCCACCCTGCTCTGGGCACCCTGCCCTGGGACATGCCAAGGCCATGCCAAAGAGTGTGGCCAAAGCACATTCCCGGGCCCTCCAGCAACCCCAGCACATAGATGAGACCTGTGGTATCAGAGGGACAAGAAGGGCCACTGCCCCACAACCCGTCTAAGGCTTTTGAACATGCCCAGATGCACTCAGCCTCCCTGGGGGCTATCTTTGAGGTCTGAGGGCTCTGTTACATGGGGCCCCTGACAGGTGATGGTACTGGGCCTGATGCACCTGAGCTCCCCAGTCCCAAGCACAGGTGTGCCTACCATGAGCACATCTAACATAGCCTGCCCTTGCCCTCCTAGATGTCCCCTCACCAGCAGTGGTGCAAAACGATGGAAGATGTGGGCCAGAGTGAGGAGGACAGTGGGCTGCCCTTGCAACTGCCACTCAGAGCTCTCCTTCTCCACCAGCCGCCCTTCCTGTGTATGTGGGAGAAAACTATGAGGAGAGAAGACAGGGAAGGACCCCAGTCACCCAGCCCAGACCCTGGCTCACCACAGGGTCCAGCTCCACACTGAGCACTGCCCGGAAACAGCCCAGCAACCTCTGTGCCCGCACCAGGTCAGCACCAGGTGGGTCCTGCAGAGGCCGGAAGCCTGCCATTGGGTAGGTGCCACAGAGTCAAGGTAGCAACAGATGACTTGAGGCTCAGATACACCCCTTCCTCTCATTGAGGGGCCCAGGCTTCAGAGTAGAAGCCTGGTTTGCATCACAACTCGCTCACTCAGTCTCTATGGGGCAAAACTTCTCCAGCCACTGCCTGTTCTGCATCTGCTCAATGGAGATGATGATGGAACCCACCTAACAAGACTGCTACAAGGCCTATTGTCCTCAGACCCCCTAACTAAGCCACACTCTAGTCACTCCTTGAGGCAGCCATGGCTTACCACCAGCCCATAGTCCTACCAGAGTAGGGAATCCTTCCTATAGCACTCCTGGGGTATGGAGCCCCTCACCCTAAATTCCAAGCCACCCACTGCCATCATCCCAAAATGATATCGCAGAGGACGGCTGCCAAAGTTGAAGGCCACGGACTCCTTAAAAGACAGGCTGATGGCTGGGAAGTAGGCCATGCCCTGGCCCTTGGACAGGTTCTCAAAGGCAGTGCCCAGTGACACACCATTCCTGGAGGAGAAAGGGAGGCCTATGAATCAGCCCCAGTAAGGATGTAACTGTCCACCTGCAGGTTAGCAAGCAGCCTGGTCTCCTTACAGGGACCAAGAAATGGGGCAGTGGGAAGGCTCCAGGGGCCAGGCCCATGGCTAGAGGTAGGAGACTCACAGGCAAAAGGAGAGAGTACCAGCGTCCAGGTCAATCAGACAGCTCACAATGTCCCCCGCTGCCCAGGCCTGCCATGAAACAAGGCCTTCAGATGCACAGAAACACAGCACCCTTCCCACTCTGCACCCGCAGCAGCACTTCCAAAATCACCCAGGTGACACTGGCCACCATTAGAGAGGACCTGAGTCTCTGTCCCTGCCCTGGTGCTTACAGTCCTTCATGGCTTCCCAGTGGCTTCACATAATATGTGGGGATGGATGGGGTTGATAATCCACAGAGGCTTGGCCCTCACCTTGCCATAATTTGTTGTGGTCACATTCCACTTGCGCACCCGGTTTCCGTCATAGGCATAGGAGTTGGGTGTGTCTCCAACCCCTTCCTAGGGAGGGAGTGCCTGTGAGGTCTGGGGCAGGCAGTGTAGGCGGGCCAGAGCACATCAGTCACGTAGCTCTAGAGAAGGGGGCTGATGCTCTTGAGGGAAGAAGTGAGGGATTCCAAGTGGGGTGCCCTGGGGGTAGAATGGGGAATGTTCCTTCCCCAAAGGGCAACCCCAGGTAAAGTCCTCGGCAGGTCTGGGGGCAGGAGAGCCCTAATGATCCTTCAATAGGAAGTCTCCCTGGGAAGGGCCCCCTTTCCCTGTGTGTACCTCATGATTGAAGCGGCAGCTGATGGTGCACCAACCAATCTGCATGAGCCCCTGGGAGGAGATGAGCACCTCGTAGAGCCACTTCCCTGGAAAGAGTGGAGTTAAACCCAGCAGCGGGACAAAGACTGCCTCTTACCTCAAGGCATAGGCCCTTGAACTTCCTGTAACCTCTCTGGGCCTAGTGGAGGGCAGGCTCACCTTTGTATACACATGTGGTAGAGCGGATAGTCCCAAAGTTGCTGTGTCCAATCACCTGGGTGAAGAAAAAAGGTGGTGAGCTCCTCAAAGATTATGGCTTGTGTCTAGATGTCCCCCAAAAGCCTCATGCAGTTGTAGCGGGGCTTTTTTAGAAGTGGCTGAATCTACAGTGTGTGATTGATTCATGGTGCAATGCTAGGCCTGAGGGCACTAGGATTAAGGGTGTGGGTGCTACCTATCCTAAGTAGTCTGGATAAAAGGGGCAGAAAGGCTGTTAAATTCCTTTGCTGCTTTTGCTACCATGTGGGTGCCATGAACAGTTTCTCCTGTGATACTCCTCTGCCATGTGCCACCCTGCCTTGGAGCCAGCTGGCTATAGACTGAAACCTCTACAAACTCTGAGCTAAATAAATCCTTTCCCCTGTAGCTTAAGGTGTTGGGTATTTTTGTCTCAGCAACAAGAGAAAAAGTAACTAAGACAGTGCCTGAATGAGGTAGGAGGGGCTGTGCCTGTGTTAGGAGGTTCTGGGCAAGAAGCACCATGGGACAGGATCAAGGCTTTGTTGAGAAGGCTTGGGGCTGGGGCAACAAAGTTTCAGGCCATGTCAGGTGAGTTTAAGAGCTGAAGACACAAGGGTCTGGGTCCATGTCAGGATGCATTTATGGCTTCAGCCCCATCGGGATGAGCAGGATGAACAGGCCCATGTCAGGAGAAGCCTGGAGCCGTGCCCAAAGGGGCTGGACCAGGGCTGATGCCTTGCCTGCACTCACCTCCAGGAGGTCATCATCCACCAGGAGAAGCCCCTCAAAGCCTCCTGTGTGGTCTAGTACCACTGTGGATGGGCCAAGCCGCCCTTCAACCTGTCCTGGGAAGAGAATAGATAGAGGATGAGGCAGGGAAGAGGGTCTGTAAGACTCGCTGGGCGTGGTGGTGCACGACTATAATGACTGTAATCCTAGCACTCAGAAGGCTGAGGCAGGAGGATCGCCATTGCCATGAGTTGGGGCCAGTCTGGGCTGCACAGTGAGTTCAGCCTGAATTACAAAGCAAGAAGAGACCCTGTCTCAAAACAAACAAACATATGGTGCCCTGAGCTCTACACCCCCTAACCCCACTACAGAGGGTGCCACATACCCTGGCTTTCCTCATCTTCACTGTCCACCTGTAGCAGCTGGTCCAGACGCTCTGGCAGGTTCTGGAAGTTCAGGAATTTCCTGGGGAGAGTGAGAGGCTGCGAGGGGCCCAAAAGCCCTTGAAATCAGCCAGACGATACCGAATCCCTCTCCTACTCTTTCCTCAGAGTTTCCAATGGTGGCTGCCTAAACACCAGAGAAAGGACTCTGCCTAGTCTGTGGCTCTGCCATGCTGGGAGTCAGGAGAATGGGATTAGGCCCTAGTTTAGAAATTATAATCAGTCCAATTTGGTGCCTTGGGACTGTTAAAAAAATGACATTTTCCCTAAGCCTTAATTTCCTCATCTGTAAAAAGGGAACAACAGCTCTATATCCAAAACGCTGTGAAGATTCCAAGGAGTAACACACTCCCTGCCTCCACTCCAGAAGGCAGCTAACTTGATGGCTGAGAAAAGGAAGCTGGGAGAAAGGCCAGTCCCTGAGGTGGCCAATACCAAGCAAGGCCATCTAGTCCAGCCGTTTACCTCTGTGGTTCCTCTGTGGGCAGACATTCAGCGTTGAATCAGACATGCCCTAGCAGTATAAAGGGCTCAGTCCTGGGCTGCTGGCTGACTCTGTCCTGTACCCATAGGTGGCCACCAGAGCACATGGCCCTCTCATCCAAAGGGGCTGGGAACAAATCTGCCTGGGTGGCTACCTCCTCAACATGCATGCCCAGAGTAGAAAAGGCACTGTCTAATGCAGGCCAGTCCTGTCCTGAGCTCATCGCTAAGAATAGCAGGCAGTGGGGTGGTGGCAACCAGTAGGACTCAGCAGGGCAGAGGTCTGATACTTATTCGGATCCAGCCCATGACTGCCAGCACCTGTTTATTCATCTTTAATCCCAGTGCCCACTGAACTGAAAAGTAGCCTCTGGAAGGAGATGCCGAGGAGTCAAAGTATCAACTCCCACAAGCCGGCTACAGGGAGGCTTGGGGATGACATGCCCCCCTGCTATGAGCCACAAGTGACCCTGAGCTGCAGAGAGGCACAAAGGGCCATTCCTACTCCTGCTGAGCCCCAGGCCAAGGCTAGGGGGTAGCTATGCAATGGAATGCTGAAGCCAACCCCATATCTAAACAACCCGATGGGTCCTCAAAAGTAGTTCTTCTTGAAGGTCCATGCTTGGGAGGGCCACCCTCGTGCCTGTCCCCAAAAGTGATGACATAGAACTGTGAGAAGCCAGCCAGAGACAGCCTCCACTGAGTGCCTGCAGCAATGCCCATTTTGCCAACCTCAGAACCTGCCTGCCCTTTCTAGATTTCCCAGGTTCTAGCCCAGGGCCTTTCTTCTCCATAAACCCTGCCTGATGGTCCTGCCACCTGCTTTCCCTCCTGGCAGCCACAGCACTAGCAGCAGTAGGACTATCTCTGGTATCACATGAGGTAGGGATCAGATGGCCCTGGGGACAGGCCAGGACTGGGGATGAGGTGAGGGCAGACAGTAGCCTTCTACAAGTAAGAAACTTCTAACTCCCATGGCCACTTAAACAGAACAGGTGATGATGCTGCCCTGGCCCTAAAAGATGCCCAACAAAATCAATATGAAATGTAGAAAAATATTCATGGGATAATGCACCCCCAGCCCCGTACTGGGGATCGAACTCAGGACCTTGTGCTTGCTAGGCAGGCACAGCGCCATTGAGCTAAATCCCCAGCCTTTGTTTTTGGTTTTTTGAAATAGAGTCTCACTATGTAATTCAGGCTGGCCTTGAACTCACTATGTAGCACAGGCTGGCCTTGAATTCACGGCAATCCTCCTGCCTCAGCCTCTCAAGTGCTGAGATTACAGATGCACAACACCGCACCCAGCATGGGATAATGTTTGATGATAAAAATAGGACTCAAATATCTACAAATTTTTGTAAGGGAAGGCTATATTCATTACCTTGATAGTAATGGTGTGTGTGTGTGTGTGTGTGTGTGTGTGAAAACTTAAACTGCACACTTTAGATACATGCAGCTTACTGTATGTCAATTATAGCTCATAAAATTGTTCAAGAAGAACACTGAAGGTGATTAATTTTTTAAAGTTTTCTATACAGCATAACCTGAACTATATACATAGTGACATAAAGAAAATAGGAATCACATTCAAATGTCCATGTTGAAATAACAAGATGACAGGTGCTTTTGCTTATATTTCAAAGTTTCCAGTAAAGTATACATTTAACTCTTACATAGGCTAAATTTAAATATATGAAACTTGCAAGGAAAAGGTCCTGGTGGAGTTTGTACTTTACAAGCTCAGGCACAGGTTACAGGGGCCAGGGTGGGGCATTAGTGTGGGCAGACACACACAGGGTCAGATGCTGCTGTGGAGGGCAGGTGCTACGCTGGCACTGCACCCCTCCCTGACCTCCACCACATCCTCAGAAGAAAGGATCTAGCACTGCTGGAGAGAGGAACAAGTAAGTACAGTGGTGAACTCTCTAGCCACAGGTCTCTCAGCCAGAAGCACAGTAAGAGCACAACTCAAGCCAGGCTGCTCCTCCCCACAACTGTACCTTTCAGGCTCAGTGCGACCCAGAACAGTAAGGAAGGGCTACCCACAAATTCATACCTGCTGGTGGCTGCAGGGGGCACATGGTCAGTAGAGGAAAAGATGCAGTGCAAGTAGTCATTCAGCAGCTTCTCATGCACAATGCCTGGGCCACAGGTGAGAATGGAGAAAAGGAGCACATGGTCAGTGCAGCTCCTGGCTCCCACCAGCCCCAGACACTACCAGTCCTCAGCCAGCCACAAGGGTCAGAAAAGCAGCCACACTGGGTGCACTGCTCCACAGTTACTAGTGGAGAAGAGCTGTCTCGCACACAAGGGGTGCTCAGAGACCTGAGGCTCATCAGATCTAGGACTTTGCTGTGTCCCTTCCTTCTCTCCCCCCAACACAAGGAGCATCTTCTCTACCCTGAAAGTGCTTACCTGTGACCCTGGATTTCTCAGCATCTGAGGTCAGCTTATAGCTCTTTCGGGAGAAAGACATGCCAGCCCCTTTAGACGCCATTCTTCATTTCTCATGGGCAGCCAATGGTCCTGGAGGCTGAGCCAGATGCAAAGCCTATCTACTCACAGCCAGCCAAGGGCCCTTGCACTTGACCACAGTCCTTCATCGACAGGAAGGCTGGGGACAAGTGAGGCCAAAAGCATGCACACTCACACACACAGCAGGGGAAACAGGAGCTCCCAGCTTCCTACACAGGGAGGACTGCTGGGGCCTGAGGCCATGTGGCAGGGACCACAACTTGTTCCACACTGCATTTCAGTTCCCAGCCCAGGGCGCAGAGAGAGCGGTATATGTTTGCTGAGCCATAACTGTCTCTGCCCTTGGAAAACCAGATTAAAAGGTCCAAAGTGAGGTGGCTTAGATCCAAGTCCCTCTGTCCCTCTGTTGTAAGCCACTCTAGGCCCAGTTCATGTCCAGAAGAGAGAACACTACAGTGAATTCCATCAAGCATGAAACACCACTAATGAGGCCATCACCAGCCACAAGTTCCACTTATTTCCCCAACGGTGAGACTTTGTCCCTCAGCTCCAGGTTCCTCCCTTCTTGTTCACAGTCCTGCTGTTTTTCTTGTTCTAAGTCACACACGGCTTCCCACCTCATGCAGGTACCGCCCTTGCTCATCTCTCACAGCAGACTCCATTTATGTTCCCACTACTGTCTGTTCCCTGAATAACATGTTGCTACAGCTGCTCCAGACTCTACACACAAGTTCCTGGTGCTGGCCTCATAGATCTGGAGCTGTACCATCAACACTGTAACTAGCAGCCACATGTGCATATTAAAATTGGAATTAAAGTTTAAAAAATAAAAAACTCAATTTCTCAATTACATTAGCCACGTTTCAAGAGTTCCATAGCCACATGTGCCTGGCCTAGACTGGACTCATTCTACCATTACAGAAAATTCTGTGAGTGACTGTCCAGAGCGCAGACCCCAGCACTGCCTTAGCTAGCATCGTCTTCCTTGCTCTTATCTCAGCCCAAACAGGCCCTTTGCTCCCGCCACAAACCCTGCCCTGCCACCTATCACAGGGCTTCAGTGGGTGTTCGTGTTCGGTGCCCCTCACACCAGCGCAGTTTCAGGATTGATCGGCGCGGTCATTCAAACCTTCTGGAAGCAAACCTTCCACACGTGCACTCCAGGTGTCAGGTGTTGAGCCTTCAGACGAGAGGTGGAACTTGTCCCTGTCTGGGGGCTCCCTACCACTGTGATCCTACCCAGCCCCACTGAGGGATCCAGGCTCGGAACCGAACCGATTCCGTTTCGGGAGTCCAAGGACGCCGAGGACAGCGCTCAGCTCCCCCAAGTCGCCCCCTCGTGGCCCCGAGCTCCGAAGAACCTGTCAGGCTGGCTCTTGCCCCTAGTCCCGCACCACACGAGCCGTGAACACCTTGTATGGGCGCTATCGCCCTGGCCTCGAAGGAAGCCACCAGGACCCACCAGCTCAGAGACCTACCGCCCCTCACTCACCCCTAGCCGCGGCCGCCGCGACCAGCTCACAACATCCGCCCAGCCTCTCAGCTACGGCGCCCGTCCAGGGCCAAACCACCCGCTCGCTCGCACGCCGCCAGCCGTGCACGCGCACGCACACACATGCCGCCGCTCCTGGCCCTGACCATGGGAAAGTCGCGACCGCCTGCCCTGGGAGCACCGCTAGCGCAATGGTGGCCGAAATCCATCTCTTAACTGGAATCCTGAGGACGCCTGTGTCAACACAAAACCCTAAGGGCTGGCCCATGTGTGGCCTTGGATATCTGAAAAGGCCTCTCCCGCCGAAGTTCCTGCTGTCTTCACCCCTACTCTTATTTTTTCCCAATAAGTAGCCTCACTCACCTTCCCTGGGATGACACTAGTAGGCAGTGAGCCACCCTGGGCTCTGCTGCCAGGGGCGTGAGCTGACCTCCCTACAGCTGTGCCCAACTGATAAGGCAGGAATAGGGAGGGGAAAGACAGCATTGGGGCTCAGCCAGGTAATGTTCTCTACGGGGGAAACTGGGGCTTAGAGAAGCTTAATACCATCATCCAGGGTCTGGAACCTGGGCCTCTGGCCATTCTCACATCCATATGCTCTGCAAGGAGACTTCAAGCCCACATCCCAGGGTACCTCATGGGTCCCCATCAAACCTTTCTAACTCCTGCCTATTACACAGGGAAGCCTCTTGGGTCTGTAGCTGTATTAAAGTGAGAGCCCTTGTACTTCCTCCAAGGCCTGGGGCCTGGCCCCACCCAGCTCCTGTCACATCCTCTCAGGTCAGGGGCCTGCAGGCCTGGGGTGGGGGGTGTGGAGCCAGAGCCACCCAATCCGGCAGGGACAGGTTTCACAACTTCCCGGATGGGGTTGGGGTGGGTCACATGGGGTGGGTCACAGTGCAGTCTCTGGCCAAGAGGATGGGGTGGCTCCCACTCCTGCTGCTTCTGACTCTATTCTTGGAGGCCCCTGGTGAGTACCCTTCTGATTCCCACCTGCCTTCAGGAGGGGTTTCCACAGGCCCATGCTGCTGTTCTTGCCAGGAGTTCACTTTCCTACCGGGCAGGAAGCAGTGTGACCTTGGCCTCTTGAGCAGAGGTAGGAAGCTCTTGGAATACATGTGCACAATGCCTACTTAGGCCTACATTAGCACTTCTGCTGCAGCACAGAGGCAGTGCTGGAACCACACAGATGCATACACACAGAAAGTAGAGACTCCTGAATCACTTAGCATGTGTCTTCATTCAGGTGGGAGCCCAGACTTGGAGTCAAAATGCCTAGGCTGGGTCGCTGCCCGGTTAGTGTAATGGTCTGAGCCTAAACATTCTCATTTAAGAGATGAGATGGGGCAACCAGCGTCACCGTAGCTCTCATAGAACACATGTGTTAGACCTAAGCGCAGGGCCGGACCCACTCACCAGAGGTACTAGTGAAAACTACCATGCCTGGACCTGCTTCCTCCACTCCATGGAGGGTGCTGGGGTGGCTCTTGAAAGCACACATAGGGCCCATCCCAGAGGTCTTGTTTTTGGTTTTTTTTTTGAGACAGGGTCTCAGTATGTAGTTTAGGCTGGCCTTTAACTCACTATGTAGCCCAGGCTGGCCTCGAACTCATGGCAATCTTCCCACCTCAGCCTCCTGAGTGCTAGGATAACAGGTGTGCGCCACTGCGCCTAGCCATCCCAGAGGTCTTGTATCTGATGTCCAAATAAACAAAGTACCAGACATGCCAATACACATGCACTGACATGTGTGCCCACCCCACAGGGCAGCGCTCGCCACTGAATGACTTCCAGGTGCTTCGGGGCACAGAGCTGCAGCACTTGCTACATGGAGTGGTGCTTGGGTCTTGGCAGAAAGATGTAGTAGATGCTGAAGAGTGTGCTAAGCTCTGTGGGCCCCTCCTGGACTGCCGGTGAGTGGCCAGTCAAGTGGCCTAGATATGGCTGGAGGAAAGGGAACGTGGAACTTGGATAATCCTGTGCCTTTTCCTCCCTAGTGCCTTTCACTACAACATGAGCAGCCTCAGCTGCCAACTGCTCCCATGGACCCAGCACTCGCCTCACACAGGGCTGCAGCGTTCTGCAGGCTGTGATCTCTTCCAGAAGAAAGGCAAGTGGCTACAGGGAAATGTGAGGTGGGGATAAGGAGTCCAGGACCTCCAATCCTGTTGACCTTTCTTCTCTTGCTTCCAGACTATGTTCGGACATGCATTATGGACAATGGCGTCAGGTACCGGGGCACTGCAGCCAAGACAGTGGCTGGCCTGCCCTGCCAAAGCTGGAATCACAGGTTCCCCAATGACCACAAGTGAGACACATCTTCCTTTCATCTGTGCCAACAGACTTCTCCCAGCATGTGCTGTAGTGATGCTCTCTGCCCACAGGTATAAACCCACACTCAGGAATGGCCTGGAAGAAAACTTCTGTCGCAATCCTGACAGGGACCCCAGAGGTCCTTGGTGCTACACAACAGACCCTACAGTGCGCTTCCAGAGCTGTGGCATCAAGTCTTGCAGGGAGGGTAAGTGGTGCTGGCTGCATGGAGCCTGGGGAGGGAGGGACAGGCCCACTCTCGTCTTGAAACACACTGGCCCTATGTCTCTAGGTGCCTGCATTCGGTGCAATGGTGAGGATTATCGTGGTTCAGTGGACCACACAGAGTCAGGACTTGAGTGCCAGCGCTGGGACCTGCAGCACCCGCACGTGCATCCCTTTGAGCCTGCCAAGTATGTGCGCAAGGGCAGACTAGGGGCAGTAGCAGACCTATTAAGGTTTATAAAAAGCAATTGCAGGGCTGGGGATTTAGCTCAGTGGTTCTGCCGCGTGCTTCAAAAGTGCAAGGTCCTGAGTTTGATCCCCGGTACCAAAAAAAAAGCAATTGGAAAGGGCCCCAGTCCTAGGGTCTTGTTCAGGTCTAGGTATGGTCCCCTAGATTCCTGGACAAGGATCTAGATGACAACTACTGCCGGAATCCTGATGGTTCTGAGCGGCCCTGGTGCTACACCACAGACCCACAGCTTGAGCGAGAATTCTGTGATCTCCCCAGCTGTGGTGAGCCTCTGGTCCAGGACCTGGGAGGTGTGGTTTGGCTGGGTGTAGTCCAGAGGCTGGTAGAGAGCAAAAACCGAGTACCAGACCATGAGTCAGCCTAGATTCTAGCTTCTCAGGGTCCGACCTGCCTCGGTCCACCCCAGGGTTGGAGGCACAACCACATCACGAGGCCAGGACTTTCCACTGCTTCCGAGGGAAGGGTGAGGGCTACCGGGGACTCGCCAACACCACCACCACGGGCGTGCCCTGCCAGCATTGGGATGCGCAGAGCCCACACCAGCACAGATTCCTGCCAGAGAAATATGTGTGCAAGTGAGCACTGGGCACACTTCATGGGTGGCTCCGGGGCCGGCAAGCAGGAAGGGTGGGGGCTGGGTGGGGCTAGAGGACCCTGTGCTGTTGAGTGTGTGCCTGCCAGGGACCTCCGGGAAAACTTCTGCCGGAACCCTGATGGCTCGGAGGCGCCCTGGTGCTTCACATCCCGGCCTGGTATGCGGGTTGCCTTCTGCTACCAGATACCGCGCTGCACCGATGACATTCGCACAGAGGGTGAGGTGGGCGGGGGGTGGTGGTGGTGGGGGGGTGACTAAACCTGGGCTGGAGATGCCTGAAGGCAGGGAGGAGGCCTGGAATGATGGTTGTTCCCTCATGCCTCCTGCAGACTGCTACCATGGCTCAGGGGAGCAGTACCGAGGCTTTGTCAACAAGACCCGCAAGGGTGTCCCATGCCAGTCCTGGTCTGCACAAAGCCCACACAAGCCACTGTGAGTACATGGGCCCTGGACTGGGCCTGAACCCTTGGGCAATACACCTTGGCCTGAGATGGCCCTGCTTCCCACTTAGATTCACACCCACCTCTGCCCCATATGCTCAACTGGAGGAAAACTTCTGCCGGAACCCAGATGGGGATAGCCATGGGCCCTGGTGCTACACTACTGACCCAGGGACCTCCTTCGACTACTGTGCCCTGCAACGCTGCAGTAAGTAGTGGGGACACTTCCCTGTGGCCCTAACTCAGCCCCTTCTCCAAGGACTGGTTCTCAATCTGGGTGAACTTGGTTTTTCAGATGATGACCCACCAAAGTCCATCCTGGACCCACCAGGTGCACACTTGGGCCAGGAGTAGGGGGTGCCTCTCTGCCCAGACCTCCATCCAAGGGGTTCCATCCATCTGCCCATTGCCCAGACCAGGTGCAGTTTGAGAAGTGTGGCAAGAGGGTGGACAGGCCAGACCAGTGGTTCTCCAAGCTACGCATAGTGGGGGGCCATCCTGGGAACTCACCTTGGACAGTCAGTTTGCACAACAGGTGAGGCCCAAATGGCTGTGTCCTCTCTGGTTATGCCAGTGGGAGTTGGGACCTGTCTCTGGTCCCAGAGATTCTAACCAGAAAATGGCAAGTCCTGTATGTGTCCCCGGACTGACTCACTGTTCCTTCTCCTAACCCCCATTTCTCCAGGCAAGGTCAGCATTTCTGCAGTGGGTCCCTAGTGAAGGAGCAGTGGGTACTGACAGCCCGGCAATGCTTCTCATCCTGGTGAGCCTCCCTTGGGTTTGGGAATCTAGTCTCAACTGCCACCTTGGTCCTCCTACCAGCCACTTTCCTCAAGCAAGCCAAGAAGTGGGTCATGGGGTAGGAGACTGAGAGTTGAGAAAGAGCAGAGCTTCTCTCCCAGCCATGCACCTCTCACGGGATATGAGGTGTGGCTGGGTACCCTGTTCCAGAACCCACAGCCTGGCGAGCCTGGCCTGCAGCAGGTCCCAGTGGCTAAGATGGTATGTGGGCCCTCAGATTCCCAGCTTGTCCTGCTCAAGCTGGAGAGGTATGTGGACAAGTTAAATGGGGGGGGGGGGGGGTGCTGGGTTTGTGGCCCTAGGCCCTGAATGCTTCATCCCTGCTGAAGACCTGTGACCCTAAACCAGCGAGTGGCCCTGATCTGCCTGCCCCCTGAGCGCTATGTGGTGCCTCCAAGAACCACGTGTGAGATTGCAGGCTGGGATGAGGCCAAAGGTAAGAGCCTAGGGTATGGGCACTGGCTGCTGCAGGCCAGGAGGCCCAGCCCTGGGTCATGGACAAGAGCCCACTCCTTTTCTGTATTCCCTTCATGATAGGTACAAGTCATGACAGGGTCCTAAATGTGGCCTTGCTGAATGTCATCTCCAACCAGGAGTGTAACATCAAACACCGAGGGCGTGTACGAGAAAGTGAGATGTGTACCAGGAAACTGACGGCCCCTGTAGGAGCCTGTGAGGTCAGCAGCAGGGCTTCTGAGCAGCCCAGGGAGGATGTGGGCAGCTGGAAATGTACAACCTCATCACCAAAGGGGCTAGTTGCTGCCATGGCCTAAGATCCTCATGAGTTCCCCTACCTGCTAGGGTGACTACGGGGGCCCACTTGCCTGCTTTACCCATGACTGCTGGGTCCTGGAGGGAATTATAATCCCCAACCGAGTATGTGCACGGCCTGGATGGCCAGCCATCTTCCTGCGTGTCTCTGTGTTTGTGGACTGGATTCAGAAGGTCATGCAGCTGGGTTAGGCCTGGCCTTTGTCCCTTGCCTTGAGGAGGACAAAACTTCCTACCAGAGATAAAGCCACCTTTCCTCTTTATACCTGTGCATAATGCTTTTTAGCCTCTGCTTCTAGGCAATGAATTAGTGATTCCTTGCTAGGACCTGGGGACCTTGAGCACACCTTGGGCTGAGTGATCTCACTTTAGAACTACTTTAGCCTGTGGGTGCTGTGGAAGGGCAGGGCCTCACTCATCCTCCAGACACACTCTTGGGAGTAGAAGGTGATTCAGAGCAGTTTCTCCCCAAAGGGAATGTAGCAAGAGCTACACAGTTTGGTCCAGAGACCTTGTTAGCCAGGATAGGCAGACTGAACTTCTTACTGTCCCCTTTACTGACACTGGAGGCAGATGAAGCCCTATGGCTACTACAGCCAGGGTCTAGGGACCTAAAACATCAAGGTGAGAGCTGGTGGCATGGTTGGGTAGCATGGTACAAAGTACCAGCATAAGCCAGACTCTGTGTTCTCATTTATTATGACTACATTCCTCCAGCCACTCATCCATGGAGACTAGAGCCCAGGAAGCCTCTTGCTGCTCTCCCAGACTCAAGAGCTCCTCGAGAGCAACGTGTGACACAATCTGACCAGCTCGTGCAGAAGGGGAGGGCTTCAGCTGCCCAAGTGCATGTGCAGCCAGAGCACAGTATTCATGAAGTTGTCTGATTCCACTTCCACCTCTGATAGTGCATGGGTGCTTTTGGGATAGAGCAGGAGCCTGTAGGGGTTGGGCAGCAACATTTGAGTCTGGAGGGTCCTCCCCTGCTCACTTGCCTCCAAGCTGCCAGGGCTATCCTGTGGTACTCACCGGACAGGCACATTCCGGGCCTTGAGGGCACGGTAATACTCTATTCCCTGCTTGAAGGGTACACGCCGATCCTCCTGGCCCAGCATCAGTAACAGCGGAGTCTTCACCTGAACGTGTGGGAAGTGGGAAGCAGGGAGCAGGGATAAACTGGGCCCTAAAATCTAGATGGACAGGTGGCACATGGGGTGAGGAGGTGGGAGGGATGAGTACCTGAGGGACATATCTGATGGGTGACTTGTCCAGCATCTCTGTCCATACACTGAGGTCTGGCAAGCTGTCGCTGTTATAAGGGAAGCCAGCCTCTACCACACACCTGGAAGAGACCAAGCCAGAGCCAGATGTAGTGGTACATACCTGTAATCCCAGCAGTCTGGAGGGTGAGGCAGGTGGATTTCAGGTTTAAGCCCAGCCTGGGTAACTTAGTGACCTAGCAAGATTCTGTCTACAAAATAAAGAAGAGGAGGGCTGCTCACTGTAAAGGACTTGGGTTCAAGGTGCTAAAAAATGAATTTTTTTCTTTTTCTTTTTTTTGGTACCAGAGATCGAACTCGGGACTTTGTACTTGCGAGGCAGGTGTTGGAACCACTGAGCTAAATCCCCAGCCCTTTTTGTTGTTTTTTTTTTTGAGACAGTCTCACTATGTAGCCCAGACTACTTCAGCCTACTAAGTGCTGAGATTACAGGCATGTGGCACCACTGGTACCACAAAAAACGAAGAGAGGCCAAATCCACGCAGTTCCAGGAATTCTGAGGCTTGCAGGAATACATGGGAATGTGGGGTGGAAAGGAGGAACACTCACCAGTCAGGGATGTCAGTGGAGCCCATCAAGGAGGCAATGTTGATCACAGGGTTCCGGGCCACACAGGCGCCGTAAGTCTCTGGGTACTGGCCAATCAGGTGGCAGGAGAGGAACCCACCATGGGAACCACCCATAAGGGCCACACGGCCTGTGTCAAAATGTTCTTCTTGGAGCACCTGCTCCACTGCAAACTATAGGGTGGAGCACAGTGTACTGCAGCCAGCTGCCTGCAGCCATGCCCGACAGCCCACCCTCTAGCCTGTCAGAAGCCCCAACCCCGTTACCTGGACATCCTTCACATCCTGGTGGCCCACATTGCCTGGAAGGGAAAGGATGCTGTCCTGCCCAAAGCCAGTGGAGCCACGATAGTTCACTGAAGGTGAGGGATGGATCAGACAGGGTAGTTAGGCAAAACTCTCAGCCCCATGGACACCACTTCAGACATCTGTGAAGTAGGCCTTAAAACCAGCCCCATCAAGAGATTTTCACCTCTTCCCCAGACCATCAAGAGACAGGGACCAGGGCCTGGGGATTTAGCTCAGTGGTTTCACCACTTGCCTCACAAGCATAAAGTCTCAAGTTCCATCCCCGGTACAAAAAAAAGAGACAGGTCCCAAGAGATTACAGGCTGCTACCAGGGAGCACTTCCTTTCCGTGGAGGTCTCAAGTTAGTCCACATTATTAGATGCTGGGCCAGGGCAGTTTCTGGTAGTGGATACTAGAGGAAGTAACTAGGCCATAGAAAGGCCTAGAAACAAGGGTAGCAACCACAGGGTTTGTACAAACCAGGATCACCCCATCACTTCACCAAAGTCCCAGTAGAGCTTCGGGTCCCTCCTTGCTCACCTAGTAGCACTGCAAAGCCCACCTTGCAGAGCACGGCTGGAAACAGCATCCAGGCAGTAACAAAGGATGAATGGGGTCCCCCTGGAGACAGGAATCGGAGAGTTAAAGGGCCAGCTAGACAAGGTAGAGGGAGGGCAGAAGCTTTTAACCCAGATACCTACCGTGGGGCATGACCACCAGGGGCACCTGGGTCTTATCAGGGGGGTTACTGGGCTGCAAAAGGATTGCTTCAAAGTCAAGGCCAGCTGCAGGGAGAAAGCAGCAGTCAGCAGGGTCAATGCCACTTCCCTGGGGCTTCCCCAGCCAAGGACCGATCTCTAGCTACAGGTCTGGGGCTGACCTGTGGAACCCACACCATGTGTGGGCCTCTGAAGCCTCATGCTCCTTCTGCCCTGGTCAGACAGCCCCACTCTGAAGGGACAGCATTCTGGATAAGGTATTATTGCATAGGCACTGGATAAGGCCTGTTCTCTTTGGGCCTTGGGTTTCTCACCAAATGGTTTGGCCTGGTGGTACTCAGTTCTGATAACCAGAACAGGTGCTCAAAACCTCGGGTGCTACTCCTCAAGAACAGGAAACTTCTTAGAAAAGTCTTAGGAAACCATGCAATGTGAGCCTGGAGGGAGGGTCTCCATAGATGCTATGTGCCAGGAAGCCTCTGCCCTGGCCCAGCTTACCATACTGTCTATTCTCTTGCTCTGGGGGTGGCTTTAGCACTCGGATGCTCCAGTGGATGTCAGGAATGGGCTTGGCCTCCTCCAGGGACACCCACAACATTGACTGCTCCTTCCCTGCACGAGGCAGGAAACCAACTTTCTGCCAAGGGGAAGAAAAAGTCTCACAAGTAGTCCGGATGGCTCCCTGCCTTCTGCTTCTGCCCAGAGCAGGAGGTGGGCAGCTTTTACTAAGCTGGGCCTCACACCTACCTCTAGAGGACACAACATGGATCATTACTGTGAGCTGGTATATACCAAGTACTCACACTAACATCTGAACACACCATACCCTCCTCAGGTCCTAGGGTCCGCTATCTCCCTGTTTTCTGTAATATCAGAGGACTGGTCACTTCCCCAGGTACCCTGTTCAGGACACAGCAGACATAGTCCATAATCCCTCCCCATGAGTGCCAAACCCTTATGGATGCTGGGAAGGTCTGTCTCAGCTCCTCTTTTACTGACAAGCTATGGTCAGCCTCTGGGCCAGCAGAGCTGCTGTCTCCCAATCTGGGACCCCCCAACACTCACCAGGCTTGGGGGCAGGCTGGGCGTGGAGAACTGTGCCACCATAAGGTCCCGGTCAATTGTAAACAGCTTCCAGCTTCCACCCAACCCTCCTGGAGAAAGCAGATGCCACTAAGTGCCTGGCAGGGCCACCACCTTTCCCACTTATTCTCTGCAGAGTCCAGGCTAAAGGCTCTATTGAAAGATGGCCCTTTATCCCACGAGGGGCAGAAGTTTCACAGGTGACCCAGCCTTGTGCTTCTATTCAGAGTAGGAGGTGGGCAGCTCTAAACTAAGCCTCTCACACCCACCTCCAGAGGACACAGATGGGCTCTTACTAGAAGCTGATTGTATCAAGGCACATATACATATGAACACATACCCCACCCTCAGATTTCAGGATCAGCTGTCTCCTTTTGCTCTGTAATACCACAAACACCCAATTACATGTGGCCCTAGGGAAGCTTCTTGCTCAGTATCTTGTTCATCTTGCAGACACTGGCTGTGCCCAGAAATTGCCAGACCTAGGGATACACCAGACCATTAAGGGACTCCACCCCACGCCCTCAATGACTGCAGAGGTGGCAGCTGGGTCCAGGGAGTTGGTTGGGGCCTGAGCAGCAGGGTCCGCGCAGATGCTTAAACAGGACTTGTGTGATGAGATACAGGTTTAGACAACATTTAGTACTTTGTGGAGGAGCAGGTAAAGTCAAGGCATGTGGAGAGTTCAAAAGTCATTTCAAGTGCAGTCACTAGCCTGAGTGTGAAGAAGATGTGGGACCCTGGGTTGCTCCTGGGCCCTGAGGGTTAGAGCTCCCTCTGCCTGGAATAGGCACCCAAGGTTTGGCAAGGGGGAGGATGACTGACAGATCTCGGCAGGAGAGTGTTCTATGGTTTTTAGGAGCAGGGGTAAAGGTTATGTTGACATTGGGCCAGGACACAGGGAACTGAGTTCCAAGGGCAGTGAAGCAGGGGAGGTGCTGTTTTGGCTGGGCAAGGGCCTTGCCGAGGCAAAGTCCTGGGGGGACTACTAATAAAGGCTGCAGAACAGTCAGTGGTAAGAGTGACTACAGTGCCACTGCTGCCCCACACATCAAGCTCCAGACCCACCCTATACCTGGCTGGCTTACCAGCCCTGCTCACCAGCTGTCAGAGAGGTCACACTGCCCGTCTGGGTGTCCACTACAAACAGGTCCTAAAGCAGAGGGGAGACCTCATGTGGCATGACATCTAACAGCCCTGTGGTTCTTACCCCTACCTCTTCTCTACCTTCTTGGTGAGCTTGGTACAGGCCAGAGATGTAAGTAGTGATGGTGATAGCTAATCAGTGCAGTAGGGAGCAGCCTGAGAACCTGGTCAAATCTCAGC